CTATAATGAAACAATAACATCACTCGACGCGAAGTCAATTATTTACAACGTCTTCAATTTCTTTTTAAAAGAAAGTGAAAGAGGTAGACCACAATATGCTTTGAAAAAGTGTCGTTTACGAACTGCACGTGCAGTTGGGATAACAGAAGGGAAGTTAAAAACTATGTTAAAAGACGCTCACCCCTATCTATTTTCACGTCATGTCTTCCAGTTTTGAATGAATATTGATTTTATATAGATGATATATATCCTTTACAGAATACAATTATACATTACATACGTGTGTGTGGGGGGGGGGGGTAGCCTAGTGGCCTTCGCTCGTCACGGCAAAGACCTGTGTTCGATTCACGACATGGATACAATGTGTGAAGCCCATTTCTGGTGTCCCCCACCGTGATATTGCTGGAATAGTGCGGCGTAAAACCATACTCACTCACTCACTCACTCACTGTGCTCATTTAATCAGTCTGTATGTCCTGCAAATTGACCCCATTTTTATGCCATTTCTGAGTAATTCAAATCTGCCGTTCAGCGATTCCATACTGTGAGAACGGCGGTCCGTGAAATCGCTGAGTCTGGACCAGACAATCTAGTGATTAACATTACGTTTACAAAGTAGACACAATTTATGGATAACAACTTCTTATACCTCTTAATACTGTAATTTAGAGAATTAAAGAAGTTGTTTTCCATAAATTGTGTCTGCTTTGTCATCCGTCAACTTCTAAGTCATGCCTATCAAACAAAACATTATGTTTGTTGTTTATCGCGGCACTCAGCAATATTCCAGCTAAATGCCTTTGGCCTGTCAATAATCGAGTCCTTGACAGAATGAGTCACGATGCCCGTCATTGGGGCATAACGACCCAGAACACGAACTTGAGGAGACGTATAAAAGAACAAAGTCATTTGAATGAGACAGATGTGGTGATAATGATCAAGACTATCCACTTCATTGGCATCCGACGTACTGAATTACAGGCACCAAGCACCCCTGACTAAAGTTTGTCAGCTCCCCTCATAGCTTTATATTCACTTCACAGAGATTGGGGGTCAGAATAGGTCCTGCGAAAATCCATGGTATGGTTCAAGTTACCATTCAAATTGTGCAAAACAGACACCAAAATTCGACATCATCATCTTTACTTAAGAAAATGAGAATATTTTGCTCATAATAACTTATATAATCTAAATGAAATATATCCTCTTTCAAAACTAAAAGATATGTTGAAGTAAAACTCAATTCATTCACAGGACTGAGTATGGTTTTACGCCACTTTTAGCAATATTCCAGCAATATCAGGGCGGGGGACACTAGAAATGGGCTTCACACATTGAACCCATGTCGGGAATCGAAACCCGGGTCTTCGGCGTGACGAGCGAACACTTTAACCACTAGGCTACCCGACCACCCTCGTTCACAGGAACTAGTTATGGGGACAAAAAGAGGCACCAGTATATACCCTTAAATATGTATTCAACGAATGATATCATTTACTTTTAAACATTGAATTGGCATTATGATGTGCTCAAAGCCCTTTAGAGCATTATCTGTTTGACAGGATCACTATGGTTACTGCCTTTCAGCGTCCCTTCTTTCAACGTGCAGGATAATCAAGATCACAAAATAGTAAAATCAGCACAGAGAACATGATAGAAACTATCTAAATGAAGCATACTTGTCAAAAATGTAATTTGACTGTGATACTATCAAAACAAGATTGTTGAGTAAGGATGAGAATTTATGGATGAACGACTTCTTTATTACAAATAAGAGTTCCGTTCTAACATCGTTATCAAGCAAGTGATGTTATGCATTTAACAACATGGTAAATTATCGGTATAACCAGTCGTATGTACGGAGTTTGGAGTGGTGTAGTTTACGCATATATGCATCTAATGTTGGTAGTTGGTATATTCTGACATTTTCCTACTAAAACTATTAAATGTTCTCATGCCCATGCCGCGTGCATGTGTTTGCTTCTTTTCTGGAGTAATCCTTTCAAAACAGTGGGTGTTATTCAAATCTGCTGTTCACTCTTTAGTGAGTCAATGAAATGGGGACCTGATGCTCATGCTGTCAGTCACTAGTTCTACAGAAGCGTGTAGTTTGATAGTAAGGTGTGTCACTAACAGAAAGCACTGGGAAACAGAAACCAAATGAAATTTAAAAATTGTTTTTCATTTTTTGTGCATGCATCAAAGTATATCAGTCACAAACTGTACAAAAATAAACCAAAGCCTGACGATATGTGCATCAACATACATTTATTAGACACATGCATCACTTAGTAAACATAACATCTTCTAAAACATAACAGCTGAGAAAGCACTACATGTCTGTAACCATAGGTCCGGCAAACTAAAAAGTCTCATAAAAAAAACCCCAATCAAACCTGAGAAGATATGATATTCCATCGTGCAATGCGTGGAGGTGACATTTCTGTTACCATGGTTACAAGTGCCAGCAACCAGATGCTAGATAGGGTGCAGGGCCAGTATAAATGTGCCCGCTTCAGTTGGAGTAGCTTGACCTGCTCAGAGGCTGATATTCAGCCATAAGTCTGCAGAAAATGTCATTAAATAGTCCAAAATTGGAATAAATGATTTCCCAATTCATGTTTAAATATATAACTAATAACTAATTGTAGAGCTTGTAGAGGTGACTTGTATTTCACTGATACCAGGGCCAACAAAGAGGAAGAGGTCGTAATGCTTAGTTTTGTATTATTGCATTGAATGTGATCTCAATATTCAATGTTAAAAAAACTCTGAATTTAACAAAATAAGAACTCTAAAATAATCCCTATTAAGAACAATATAACAACTTTTTTCCAAATTTGCCAGTCAGGGGGCACTTAGTTTAGAATCCTGGACAAATCCCTGAACGTATCCCACTTCAAGATGGACCACGGGTTTGAATCCCGGACAAATTCCTGAACGTATCTCACTTCGAAACTGCCACCCACAGGCCATATCAGAACTGCCACCCACAGACCATATCAGAATCACCACCCACAGGCCATATCATGTAGATCTTGAAACAATATCCTAACTTCTACTATGATCCATTGTTTGTGTTGAATGTGATACAAGACATGCTCAAAGCAGCAGACCAAATCTGTAAACAAGCATTGTTAGTTGGAAAAAGTATGAAACTGTCTTTGTATTTATTTACCAGCAGAGTACAAGTCACCCTCGTCACACGTCTGCCTCATTACAAGTCTCCCTCGTTACATGTCCCCCTTGTCACACGTCTTCTTCGTTATAACACTGGTCATAATCAAACTAACCTGAATTGGGAAATATTTAATTCCTATTTGGGAAATTTAACTTATACTGGACTAAAAAATGTTAGGGATCATGAAATATTCTGTACACAAACTATCCCCATTCCAAATTGCATAACTGCCCAAATGCAATTCTTTTCATAAATTCATATAAAAAGGACCCCACAGAGGAAGTTCTATTTCTAGTTGAGACCATCATCGATTGTCCAGCTCCATCATAGCTTTTTCACTCTAAAAAAAAGCTGTCTAATTAAATTGAGCAGGATAAATTCTGTGTTAAGTAGAGAAAGGAGTGATAGAAATGGCTATATTTGTTAAGGAAGCGGATGGCTAATGGGTGTGGGATATATGTCATAATATAACCGAGATATAACACACTGTATGGTGGAGGAGGACTGGAGACAAGAGTCAGTGCTGTATCCGGTCTTGTCCCTCACTGTACTGAGATTGTTTGTCGAGATCAAGAACTTAATATGTTTCTGTAGCATAAATATCACATACAAAAAGAAGACATATGTATGCATGTGTAATACACTTTTCATAAATGATACGGAAAAGGGTAAATCTGTATCAAATAGTCATTCTTAAAATAATCGAGGGCCAGTGTATGAACACAGCGGCAGAGTCAGTAACCCTCTCCGTTTATCTCATAGCGCCACCGGACAAGCACAGGACCATACACACCTTGATGTCCCATCTTTACCAATCTCATTAAAATCTGATCTTAGTTCTCGCTATCGCTAAACAAAGCTTTGTTTAGTGGCAGCGAGAACTTCGGGAGTGAGTGAGTATTGTTTTACGCCGCTTTTAGCAATATTCCAGCAATATCACGGCGGTGACACCAGTAATGGGCTTCACACTGACGAGCGAACGCTTTAACCACTAGGTGACCCGACCGCCCCAGCGAGAACTTAGATCTGATTTTAATGAGATTGCATCTTAACTGGGATGCTAGATGCTAGTTTGAGCAGGTAGGCATAGCACTCATATATGAAGCTAAATAAAAGATTTTTCTGCTGGTGACCTTATTTGCATTTTTATCAGATCGTGATACAAGATTATCTATTGCGTAGTGTGGCATAAATCAACAAACAAACAAACAAATAAACAAAACTTGTAAAGAATCAAAATAAGCGCCACCCCCCATGATATTCCGTCCCTCTGACGGTCTCCCCATGACTGTCAATGCTGGTCACTGGATTGTCAGATCTAAAAGTCTGGACTGAAACGATTCATCCACGCACCATGATACAAAACGTGGGGATACGGTACACCAAAGCCTCTATCATAAATCGTATCAGCCCAAACCACATAAAACACTGCTCCATCGAAGTCTATACAAAAAAGTAATATTATCTCATATTATATTACCTTATGTTTGTCGGAACCAAGCTGTCACACGGCTTCTAGCAAGTGTGTAGGACACACTGGTATTACATATTATTGCTTACATGCATATTACTTTGTGTGAGGTACCTAATTTACCATAGTAAGTGCCCCTTTGCCACCTCCAGACCAACATGTGAGTGAGTGAGTGAGTTGGGTTTAACGCCGCTTTTAACAGTATTCCAGTCATATCGCGGCGTGTCAGCTTAATGTGGGAGGAAAGCCCCAAGTGATGCAGGTTTTAGACGTTTACCACTTCGGTGAAACCCACGAGCACGGGTATGGTGCTGACAAGCCTAGAAACATAATCGGGGTGAACCGGGATTCGAACCCACAATCATAGTTTCTGGCGTGCCCAAGGGACGCAACTCTGCACAGCGAATAGCGGCGCCTCAGACGACTGGGCCACCCGTGCCCCCCAGACCAACGTGTACCGTAAGTACTCTTTATAAGCACCCCACACTAAGTTAGAAACATTACAAGTACTGTTAAATCTGCATCTTATTGTGTAAATTACTGATCTGATCACAGACAACACAGCTGTGTAGAATGGCTCATAATGTCAGACTTATTTACATCAAACAACACAGAAGGAGTACCGGGTATATATTAGTATCTATATAAATGTTTTTGTTTTAGTTTCATCAGCGTTTGAACTACGTCTGATCTCTACCGCCTGATCTCTACCGCCTGTTCTCTACCGCCTGATCTCTGACAAGAAACTTAACTTGTGTATGGTTTTAATAAGCCCCTTCTTTACCAAGTTTCTAAGCCTCCAAAGCGCTTATTACGGCGAGTATGGTATGTGTAATAATCGAGATGTAGTTATACGCGGAGTACCCAATACATCTGGATTTCTTTTTCTGTGTCTACATGAGACAACGATATCACTCATGATTATCAGCAGAACAAACAAAATTATTCAACAAACATCTTTTGAAGACTGTCAGACATTTAATTTGATATTCACATTCGTAACTGTCTTTACAAGATCTGAAACCTACTATATCATACAAGAACCTTTGTATCATGATATAACACCAGCGTAGTTTGATAACATACTTTGTATCATGATATAACACCAGCGTAGGTTGATAACATACTTTGTATCATGATATAACACCAGCGTAGTTTGATAACATACTTTGTATCATGACGGGGAGTAAAATAAATCTTTGAGTGGGAGAATAAATCCCTTATACCCCATCACGAAGGCTGCACATGGATTTCTGAGTGGGAGACTATGTCACTTAAACCTCGCTATGAAGCAAAAAGCCACACGTTCTTCACGAGTCATGGAAGACGTGACACAGCACATGTTGACCTCTACTTGCAGCTGTGTTCTATCAATTTTAAATTTGTTTTAAATCTTTTCAATGGCAGATTGAAACATGTCGGTAAGATGAATTGGTTAGCAGAATCACTGGGAGTGCATGTGATGGTGTGGTCCCACGTTCGGTGCAAGGTTTAAGAAGGTCCAGATCTTGGCATAAAACCTAACATGGGATTCATAAAACCACATACACCCCGAGTGGTAATGCTACCACTATATTGTATCATGATATATCAGCAGTGTCATGACTCTAATGCTATAAGTCAAGATGTAAGGGTCCCTAGATGCCAATTCCACAGAAGGCCCCCAAGCCTCCTTAATTGGACCACTGTCATTCATAATTAGTAACCAATATCATATCCAACTTATGGAGCATTGTAACAATTATTTCTTTGGATAAAAATATATGAAAAATTCTTCTTCTGACAGAAATATTGTGAGGTATGACAGCACATAATGAGCATCTTTGTTAAAACCCTAGTTGTTCTGTAGTGACTTCTGTCAAACAATGCTAATAATCAAAATAAATACTGGGACTTTGTTCTACAATTGTTGGTGTCTCGCTCTACAATCTGTTCGTGTCTGTGTTTCACGTGGATCAAACTCCTGCGTATGCTCGAAACAATAGCATGCCATCTGAGGTAACATTGACAATGACTTCTTCCTCTGCGGAGAAGAAGAATACTGATCCCCGCTGGAGGGGTACGGGAGAAGACAGTGTTGCGTTGGTTGCCTCCCCTGATCCTTCAATCACAATGCATATACTGGCACTCTTGAGTGGGGCCAGCCGCACCTTCCTTACACCAGCCGGTACCTACACAGAAACAAGGACAGGGGTGAGTGAGTGAGTGAGTGAGTGAGTGATCCTTCAATCACAATGCATATACTGGCACTCTTGAGTGGGGCTGGCTGTACCTTCCTTACACCAGCTGGTACCTACACAGAAACAAGGACAGGGGTGAGTGAGTGATCCTTCAATCACAATGCATATACTGGCACTCTTGAGTGGGGCCAGCCGCACCTTCCTTACACCAGCCGGTACCTACACAGAAACAAGGACAGGGGTGAGTGAGTGAGTGAGTGAGTGAGTGATCCTTCAATCACAATGCATATACTGGCACTCTTGAGTGGGGCTGGCTGTACCTTCCTTACACCAGCTGGTACCTACACAGAAACAAGGACAGGGGTGAGTGAGTGATCCTTCAATCACAATGCATATACTGGCACTCTTGAGTGGGGCCAGCCGCACCTTCCTTACACCAGCTGGTACCTACACAGAAACAAGGACAGGGGTGAGTGAGTGATCCTTCAATCACTATGCATATACTGGCACTCTTGAGTGGGGCCAGCCACACCTTCCTTACACCAGCTGGTACCTACACAGAAACAAGGACAGGGGTGAGTGGGTGAGTGAGTGAGTGATCCTTCAATCACAATGCATATACTGGCACTCTTGAGTGGGGCCAGCCGCACCTTCCTTACATCAGCTGGTACCTACACAGAAACAAGGACAGGGGTGTGTGAGTGAGTGAGTGAGTGAGTGAGTGAGTGAGTGATCCTTCAATCACAATGGATATACTGGCACTCTTGAGTGGGGCCAGCCGCACCTTCCTTACACCAGCTGGTACCTACACAGAAACAAGGACAGGGGTGTGTGAGTGAGTGAGTGAGTGAGTGAGTGAGTGAGTGAGTGAGTGAGTGATCCTTCAATCACAATGGATATACTGGCACTCTTGAGTGGGGCCAGCCGCACCTTCCTTACACCAGCTGGTACCTACACAGAAACAAGGACAGGGGTGAGTGAGTGAGTGAGTGAGTGAGTGAGTGGGTGGGTTGGGGAGTGAGTGAGTGAGTGAGTGAGTGAGTGAGTGAGTGAGTGAGTGAGTGAGTGGGTGGGTGGGTGGGTGAGTGAGTGAGTGAGTGAGTGAGTGAGTGATCCTTCAATCACAATGGATATACTGGCACTCTTGAGTGGGGCCAGCCGCACCTTCCTTACACCAGCTGGTACCTACACAGAAACAAGGACAGGGGTGTGTGAGTGAGTGAGTGAGTGGGTGAGTGAGTGAGTGATCCTTCAATCACAATGGATATACTGGCACTCTTGAGTGGGGCCAGCCGCACCTTCCTTAAACCAGCTGGTACCTACACAGAAACAAGGACAGGGGTGAGTGAGTGAGTGAGTGAGTGATTCTTCAATCACTATGCATGTACTGGCACTCTTGAATGGGGCCAGCTGCACCTTCCTTACACTAGCTGGTACCTACACAGAAACAGGGACAGGGGTGAGTCAGTGAGTGAGTGAGTGAGTTGGTGTGTGAGTGGGTGGGTGAGTGGTGAGTGGGTTAGTGAGTGGTGAGTGGGTGGGTGAGTTGGTGAGTGAGTGATGGGTGAGTGAGTGAGTGAGTGAGTTGGAGGGTGGGTGAGTCAGTGAGTGAGTGAGTTGGTGTGTGAGTGGTGAGTGGGTGAGTGAGTGGTGAGTGGGTGGGTGAGTTGGTGAGTGAGTGGTGGGTGAGTGAGTGAGTGAGTGAGTGAGTTGGAGGGTGGGTGGGTGAGTGAGTGAGTGAGTGGATGGGTGAGTGAGTGAGTGAGTGGGTGGGTGGGTGAGTGAGTTGGTGGGTGGGTTGGTGAGTGAGTGAGTGGGTGAGTGGGTGAGTGAATGAGTGAGTGAGTGAGTGAGTGAGTGAGTGAGTGGGTTGGGGAGTGAGTGAGTGAGTGAGTGAGTGAGTGAGTGGGTTAGGGAGTGAGTGAGTGAGTGAGTGAGTGAGTGAGTGAGTGAGATAGAGAGACGGAAAGTATAGGTAGGTGAGAGAGCGACTGAGTGAGGGTGGGCTTATATTCTATTTTGACATCCAATATATTCTGACCCTCCCCAAATATGTGTAGTATGTCTTATGGTTTTAAAAAGTCCCCACGGCAAATACAGTAGCTCTTACAACTAGGAAAGGGGCTGTATTCTGCCCAAGCATCCCCGGGGAGAAAATGGTGATATTTCTTTGATGTATCAGTGCTCCACAATGTTACCTTTACAACACACACTCAAGTTCACAAGTGATAAAACATTTTAAGGGTTGTCAACAAATAGTTATTTATCACATATATATTTTACCATTACGTTCCCAAATATTGAGCAAATGAATAGTTTTCTTCAAAATTACTCACCTCAAATCTTGTAACAGCAAAGTCTGTGACAAACGGCCTGAAGACAGTAACAGCTACGTCTCCCCCTCGGTCCTCAATGCCCTTGAACTTGGTCTTAGATGCCGCCTGCCCAGTGTAGTTTAACATCTCACAAAGTGTGTGCACGTCCACGAACTTGACTGTCAGGCCGGCTCGCACAACGTTGTCGGAGCATGCCATGCACTCCATGCAATCTGGAACAGAGACAATGTCAAATCTGATTATTCTTATTCCTTTCATTTATCTAGACCTTGGAGAGGCCAGTGTTCAGTCTCAAATTTCAGTAAAATTCTCAAATTTAAAGGTAAATGTCGCCATTTATGTTTTTTTGGGGTTGTCATACAGACGGACTCGTTGTTGTCATAGTGACGGACTCAGTATTGTCATAGTGACTGATTTGGTGTTGTCATAGTGATGGACTCGGTGTTGTCATAGGGACAAACTTGGTGTTGTCATAGTGATGAACTCAGTGTTGTCATAGGGACAGACTTAGTGTTGTCATAGTGATGGACTCAGCGTTGTCATAGTGAGGCATTGTAGGGGTGACTTGTATTGGTCACTGATCAGGGACCAATATAGGGGAAGGGGCTTTAATGCTTAGATATACACTTTGCATTGAGTCCCATATTAAAATAGGAACCCCAAAGTAGAACAACCGTGTGCGAAATATGCATCAGTCGGAAAGCGCACGTTAAATCTCCAAAGTAAGTAAGTAAGTAGTAGAACAAAGTAACTGTTGTCCCCCAAGTTGACTGTCACACATTTACTTTGGAATCCTATATCAATCTGTGTGTTATAAACTGGCCTCACCTTTCTACTAGGTGGGGTCCTCCATGAACAGTTATCCCTGTATGTCATGATCAACCCTGTCATGATCAACCCTGTCATGCCAAAGTACTATATACTATACAAAGTAGTAAACTGTACAAAGTACTAAACAATACAAAGTAGTAAACTGTACAAATTACTAAACTATACAAAGTAGTAAACTGTACAAATTACTAAACTATATAAAGTAGTAAACTGTACAAATTACTAAACTATACAAAGTAGTAAACTGTACAAATTACTAAACTATACAAAGTAGTAAACTGTACAAAGTACTATATACTATACAAAGTAGTAAACTGTACAAAGTACTAAACTATACAAAGTAGTAAACTGTACAAATTACTAAACTATACAAAGTAGTAAACTGTACAAATTACTAAACTATACAAAGTAGTAAACTGTACAAATTACTAAACTATACAAAGTAGTAAACTGTACAAATTACTAAACTATACAAAGTAGTAAACTGTACAAATTACTAAACTATACAAAGTAGTAAACTGTACAAAGTACTATATACTATACAAAGTAGTAAACTGTACAAAGTACTAAACTATACAAAGTAGTAAACTGTACAAATTACTAAACAATACCAATTATTAAAATGTACAAATTACTAAACTGTACAAGTTACTATTCTGATAATGAAAATCACCAACATAATCCACCCTTAACGAGTGAAACACCTGTTCACTTTACCTGCCATGGGAGGGACCATACCAGCAGTGGTTAAACACAGTTGTTGTAAGGCTGAACGTGAAGGACGTATCACTATCGCTACGGAAACAGTGAACAAACTATGGCACTTTACATAAACTTGCGTGTCACCCCAGGCTGTTGAGCTGGACTCGTAAGTCTACAGTGAAGCAGAGAAGGTACATCTTCCCTAGGCAAGGCAGTTAACTGACTATAAAAGTCCAGTTTCCACCCTTATCGAACTAGGCTGGAATTATGGAGTTATATTTTAGCTGGACTAACGAATCTTTACATAGTCCAACCAAAATCGCTTAACCAAATCAACATCTGGTTTGTAAACTGCCATACAGATTTCGGTTGATTGGAGGATTTGCAAAGCATGTATACCGCAAACTCGGCGTCAACAGATATTTTCCAAATTGTTTCATGTTTTTAATCAAGGTGCTCACATGATTTGATGCAATTTGTGAAGTAAGACCGGTATTATCACAATATAGATTTTGATTATCGATCAGATCGTCTTGACTGGGTGCCACCATTTTGTTTGAAGCAAATGCAAGTAATATGTGAGGTGGAATCTGATTGGTCAAGGAGGGACATAAAAGGACATAACTTGTCATAGCCACTGGTGGCACTACGTTTAGGTCCACAAATTCCAGCCTAGTTTGGCAAGGGTGGAAACTGGACTTTTACGGTCAGTTAACTTCCTTGCCTCAGGAAGATGGGAAGGTATGACAATCACTGTGATTACTTTGTGACATGGGGGCTGGCACTTAATGATTGAATGAATCACTGACAGACATATTATTGTTGGCACAATCTGTAAGAGAATATGAAATGGGCTAGCAATTGAGGCAATCTAGGCACATCTAAGCATTCTCAGAGGGCTATATTCAATACAAGCGCTATGTCAAATGTGCCCCAATGGGATTTTTTGTTATCCCAAAGCTGGCTTAGACATACGCTTTAATGAAAAAAGTCATAACTAACCAACAACGGTAATACCTAGTGTTACATTACTGAATGAGAAGCATAGATTATCTAAGAATTTCGAAAAATTCCAAAATTACGACTGACTTACTATTTCCCAGATGAATTGAAGTATGTTTGTTAAATCAGACTGGTTCGAGATTGCAGACTAACGGCAAAGAAACCAACTTCCCCGTTATCTTGTCATTGTTACAATAACCGGACAGTTGAAAAGAATTAAAATTCCAGATGACATGCAAAATAATTCAGCTGAGGTAAGAGTATCCAGCATTTGACAGCCATCACTTGTTTGTCAACATAACGGTCAGTCAGTCGTCCAACTCTCTGCATGGTTGTAGCCATTTGTCACAGTGGGGAGCTGTTAGCCTCCCTACATAAACAAGCATACAAACTCCTATAGCCGCCATGACCACAACACGAGATGTGCAGTAAAGCCGTGTGCATGTAAAGGGAAGAGACTGTGGTCTACATTGGATCGCATTGTTTTTAAGTACATATTAGGATTTATAAAAAAAAAATTAAAAATGGAAATAAAAACGAAACGTGCGGCAGACCTTATGATGATGCGGCGGTGCCTGAGAACCAAGACTATTATTTTCATAGTGTAACGGTCAATTGGTTACCCAACTCCATGCAGGGTTGTGGCCTCCTATCCCTGTAGGGAGCTGTTAGCTGCAGGCTGTCGTATACTAGTTTCCTAATAGATCGCCAGTCCAAATCAACACTTTACTTGCTTCAGCAGAGTACATTGATCTTGATAAATGATCTTCACTTCTCTCTTGCCTTCCAATATATGTACTTATGTTTTAGATTGTGCAACAATATCTGTACTTATGTTTTAGATTGTGCAACAATATCTGTACTTATGTTTTAGATTGTGCAACAATATATGTACTTATGTTTTAGATTGTGCAACAATATCTGTACTTATGTTTTAGATTGTGCAACAATATATGTACTTATGTTTTAGATTGTGCAACAATATATGTACTTATGTTTTAGATTGTGCAACAATATATGTATTTATATTTTAGATTGTGCAACAATATATGTACATATGTTTTAGATTGTGCAACAATATATGTACTTATGTTTTAGATTGTGCAACAATATATGTACTTCCGTTTTAGATTGTGCAACAATATATGTACTTATACAGTTGGAAAACGGACTGGTAAAAATATTTTTATGCCATTGTGCTCTGCGATGGTGACCAAAACTGTTCCCTCTTGATGATTCCAAACCCATATAAGTACATAGAAGGTTGCATGATCGAAAATATAAGTACACATATTTGAAGGGAAGTGTTTTCGGAAGTGAATCGTGTTGCATTTTTTCGTGGGATTACGAGTCATGTACATTATGGCACGGTTGTTAGAGAGGTACGTGCGGGAATCTGTTTGTTCGGGAAAGCACTTTTGAACAGTCCGTAGCTCTGTATATTTAACATCAACATCATTTATAGAGGGCAGCCCAGAGATACTGTTACTGCAGATGGGGAGCCGTGACTGGTGGCAGAGATAGTATAGGTGAGGTGAGGTGAAATGGGGTTTAACGTCGCGTCCAAGATTATTGCACTTATATAGCGACGTGTATGCACGTGTATGTATGTGTGTGGCTGTTGTACTAGTCCGGACTGATGCCGATTTATAGTGCTAGCTCACTGAGATACCATGCCGCAGTTAAACATGAATACCCCACTCAGACACAGTATACTGACTCCGAGCCAACCAGTCCTTGTTTTAGCCCCTTAATGACGAGCGCCAGACAGGGTAACAACAAGTACCATCTTTTAACGTCTTTTGGTATGACGCGGTTGGGGATCAAACCCCCGACCTTCCGCTCTCCGGTCGACGCTCTACCACTAGACCACGGAGGCGGTCGAGATAGTATAGAGAGCTATCACTGTGAGAAGCTTGGAAGCAGCCAGGGGAAGGGAGACAACTCACCCCCAGATAGGTATGCGTGTGGGAGGTTGGCCTCCAGAAACATGGCCTCCCCCGGCTGTAGGGTTATCACGTTCAAGAAGTAGATTGCGAAGCCGCCACGGTCCCCGGGAAACTCTCTGTGTAACTTCAACAAGACATCTCCAACCAAATGTGACGTGTCTTTTCCATTGGCTTCTGTAATACAGATGACATAAACATGAAAAAGGTCAAGCAATCGTTTGGATAATTAGGTTGAGAAAGGAAACATTCTTGGCATTCGTGACCAACTCGTGTTATTCCGGGACAAGCCGAATAGCGACTCGTGCCTCGCTCATGGCAATGCGTAAAATTCGTTGCGTAATGGTTCACATATATTTCCCCATATATCATATATATTTCAGATGTATTTTAAAGCACATAGGGACGTGCGTTATTATACAGTATGATTGAACACATTTAACTGTGTCTTTGGTATATTTTTAGATGCAAGACATATGTAAAATCAAAAAATATTTCTGAGGGATTCTTTGACGAAGAACTTGAAATCATGCGCGCATTCTGATTGGTTTGTCGTATTTTCCCACATAACATTCATCGATAGGGGGATGAGTCTTCTTGCAGGTTACGGAAAGGGGCGAGTGGTGACGAATGCATTCTTGGTTGGATAAAGGCTCCATTACATACTAGCTTCACACAATTCAACATACAATGTAGGTAAATAAAAGAAAACTGGCAAATAAATACGCTTTTTCAAAATTGACGCCATGGAAACATAACAAAAATTTGGATGGAGACCATTGGAACAAACACAAAAACATCACTACAATTGTAAAACAGAAGTTGATCATCCACATTATCTTGTCAATAGATATGTCCTAGTGATGGATAGTGTTGTAATAGCGATTATTGCCAGACTCAGTGTTGCCATAGTAACAGACTAATCTTGCCATAGTGACACTCAGTTTTGTATTATTGCCAGACTCAGTGTTGCCATAGTAACAGACTAGTGTTGCTATTGTGACGGACTTACTCATGTCTTCTACTTTGGCCACGAGGCGCTCCAGCTGACACTTGATGACCTCCGGCTCCCTGTTCATCAGCCCGGTGAAGCACATCTTCATGGTCTCCCTGTGCAGGGGCATGTCCATAGAGTTGCAGGCGGTCAGCAGCCTCACCGCGCAGTGGCTGCCCACAGCCTCGCGGAACTCGTCAATCTCTGCAACACACAACACAAACACGTGACTACGGTCCAACGCTGCTGCCTCACCGCGCAGTGGCTGCCCACAGCCTCGCAGAACTCGTCAATCTCTGCAACACACAACACAAACAAGTGACTACGGTCCAACGCTGCTGCCTCACCGCGCAGTGGCTGCCCACAGCCTCGCGGAACTCGTCAATCTCTGCAACACACAACACAAACACGTGACTACGGTCCAACGCTGCAGCCTCACCGCGCAGTGGCTGCCCACAGCCTCGCGGAACTCGTCAATCTCTGCAACACACAACACAAACACGTGACTACGGTCCAACGCTGCAGCCTCACCGCGCAGTGGCTGCCCACAGTGAGTGAGTGAGTGAGTGAGTATGGTTTTACGCCGCTTTTAGCAATATTCCAGCAATATCACGGCGGGGGACACCAGAAATGGGCTTCACACATTGTACCCATGTCGGGAATCGAACCTGGGTCTTCGGCGTGACGAGCGAAAGCTTTTTTAACCACTAGGCTACCCGACCGCCCCGGCTGCCCACAGCCTCGCGGAACTCGTCAATCTCTGCAACACACAACACAAACACGTGACAACGGTCCAACGCTGCAGCCTCACCGCGCAGTGGCTGCCCACAGCCTCGCGGAACTCGTCAATCTCTGCAACACACAACACAAACACGTGACAACCGTCCAACGCTGCTGCAAATATTCCAGCAATACGACGTTGATACTCCCGAGGCTTCACACATTCTACCCGCGTGGAGTCCGAGGCTTCACACATTCTACCCGCGTGGAGTCTGAGGCTTCACACATTCTACCCACATGGAGTCTGAGGCTTCACACATTCTACCCACGTGGAGTCCGCGCCTTCACACATTCTGCCCACATGGAGTCTGAGGCTTCACACATTCTACCCACGTGGAGTCCGAGGCTTCACACATTCTACCCGTGTGGAGTCCGAGGCTACACACATTCTGCCCGCATGGAGTCTGAGGCTTCACACATTCTACCCACGTGGAGTCCGCGCCTTCACACATTCTGCCCGCATGGAGTCTGAGGCTTCACACATTCTACCCGCGTGGAGTCTGAGGCTTCACACATTCTACCCGCGTGGAGTCTGAGGCTTCACACATTCTGCCCGCATGGAGTCTGAGGCTTCACACATTCTACCCGCGTGGAGTCCGAGGCTTCACACATTCTACCCGCGTGGAGTCCGAGGCTTCACACATTCTACCCACGTGGAGTCCGCGGCTTCACACATTCTACCCGCGTGGAATCTGGGCCTTCAGCGGGACGAGCAAAACACCAAGAAGAAATACAGTAAACTATGTTTATAAGAAACATGTGCATAATGAACTGATGGATATAATGAACTGTCTTTTTGTCCTGGCCATTTGCTGAATATATGCTGTTTATATGCTTGTAACGAATTATGGTTATAACAAACTACAATTAGTGTTGGTCTGTTTTTGTTGTTTAACGCCACACTCAGCAATATTCCAGCTATATGACGGCGGTCTGTAAATGATCGAGTCTGGACCAGACAATCCAGTGATTAATATCATGAGCATCGATCCACGCAATTGGGATTGATGACATGCACTAATCTAAGTCAGCGAGCCTGACCACCCGATCCCGTTAGTTGCCTCTTACGACAAGCATAGTCACCTTTTATGGCAAGTATGGGTTGCTGAAGGCCTATTCTACCCCGGATCTTCACGTGTCTCTAAAATTAGTGGTCTCTTTGAGTTTGTTATAACCGTAGTTTACTGTAATTTTACATTAAATTGTATATTTATATACTTATCCTATCTCACACTATGCATTTCTTCCTTTTTCTTTCGATCCTTAAGTGGAAACATGCTTGAACAAAGTTTCCAGCTTCTAAACAGAATTCACCCAAACACATCCCAAATCACCATGGTCACCATCCAAGCAAATGCGTCATGTACTGTAATCTCATGTGTGACCAGATCACCTGACTCCCCCTTTCTTAGAGCTGACAGGCTAGAGGAGCTGTGATGCGGGGATGGTCGGGAGGGCATATAGCGTGTGAGATAGGAAAAGTATAAAAATATACAAGTTAAAGTAAAATTTACAAATTTATAAACTTATCTTATCTCACACTCTGCATTTATCCCACATTTAGACGTGAGACATACAGGAGAAAGCTGGCGCCAAACAGTGATGCAAATAAAAAGAATCTACAGCAATGCCTAGCGTCTTAAAAACAAGAACAACATGAAATCAAGTATAACATGTGATACATGGTTTCCCATAGGATAGCATTACATGACTGACCGTGGAGCTTTGAACAGAGATCTATTCAGTGTACGACTTATAACCAATCCCAAAGCGGTCATACAGCAATCAGTTCTAGAAGACAGACCACACCACTCTCTCCGACGGACAATAGGGTGAGCCAGCTCAGCATCTCTTGTACCGCTTCATCAAGCTATCAATCACACCTGAAGGATTGAAGTATGTAGAGACGAGGAATGATCAACAACTACAAGAGGATCATCCAACCAATACCAAGACATCTAGTGCCTAAAGAAGTGGTGAGCAGGTAAGGGTTCCGGACACCGCTGAAATGGCCGCGCCGTGCATCGACTTCAATGTTGAAAACTGGAGTCTCTACAGGCGAGGATACTCAGTCTGGGAACCCAAATAATGAAGACAATAAATACAGGAGTGCCTGTTCCAATATTTAATGAGCCTCAGTGATGGCAACTCACTTTGAAAAACCGTTGGTGACAAACGACTTCTGGAGATGAACCAGACTCAAAGATGGAGGCGACTTGGTGCATTTGGTGGTAGTGAGGCTGGAGTAGAAGATCGTCCCTCAGTGGATGATGGTGGAACTTTCTTTCTGCGATCTGTACCATCGTTGTGAACACAACTTCCAGTTGGCCAATAGGACGTGACCAAAAGCAGTCGAAGTTGCTTGGTGGACGCCGCCCTCTGAATGACCCTAGGTAGAAGGCTGGTCAGGGGAAAAGGTGAAGTGTTGAGGTTCTCCCAGGAGATGGCCAGCGCATCGTGGTCCTTGTCAGGAGATGGCCAGCGCATCGTGGTCCTTGTCAGGAGATGGCCAGAGCATCGTGGTCCTTGTCAGGAGATGGCCAGAGCATCGTGGTCCTTGTCAGGAGATGGCCAGAGCATCGTGGTCCTTGTCAGGAGATGGCCAGAGCATCGTGGTCCTTGTCAGGAGATGGCCAGAGCATCGAGGTCCCATGCCAGGAGATGGCCAGAGTATCATGGTCCCATGCCAGGAGATGGCCAGAGCATCATGGTCCCATGCCAGGAGATGGCCAGAGCATCGTGGTCCTTGCCAGGAGATGGCCAGAGCATCGTGGTCCTTGCCAGGAGATGGCCAGAGCATCGTGGTCCCATGCCAGGAGATGGCCAGAGCATCGTGGTCCCATGCCAGGAGATGGCCAGCGCATCGTGGTCCTTGCCAGGAGATGGCCAGAGCATCGTGGTCCTTGCCAGGAGATGGCCAGAGCATCGTGGTCCTTGCCAGGAGATGGCCAGCGCATCGTGGTCCTTGCCAGGAGATGGCCAGAGCATCGTGGTCCTTGTCAGGAGATGGCCAGAGCATCGTGGTCCTTGCCAGGAGATGGCCAGAGCATCGTGGTCCTTGCCAGGAGATGGCCAGAGCATCGTGGTCCCATGCCAGGAGATGGCCAGAGCATCGTGGTCCCATGCCAGGAGATGGCCAGAGCATCGTGGTCCCGTGCCAGGAGATGGCCAGAGCATCGTGGTCCTTGCCAGGAGATGGCCAGAGCATCATGGTCCCATGCCAGGAGATGGCCAGAGCATCGTGGTCCTTGCCAGGAGATGACCAGAGCATCGTGGTCCTTGCCAGGAGATGACCAGAGCATCATGGTCCTTGCCAGGAGATGGCCAGAGCATCGTGGTCCTTGCCAGAAGATGGCCAGAGCATCATGGTCCCATGCCAGGAGATGACCAGAGCATCATGGTCCCATGCCAGGAGATGACCAGAGCATCGAGGTCCTTGCCAGGAGATGGCCAGAGCATCGTGGTCCCATGCCAGGAGATGGCCAGAGCATCGTGGTCCTTGCCAGGAGATGGCCAGAGCATAGTGGTCCCATGCCAGGAGATGGCCAGAGCATCGTGGTCCCATGCCAGGAGATGGCCAGAGCATCGTGGTCCCATGCCAGGAGATGGCCAGAGTATTGTGGTCCCATGCCAGGAGATGGCCAGAGCATCGTGGTCCCATGCCAGGAGATGGCCAGAGCATCGTGGTCCTTGCCAGGAGATGGCCAGAGCATTGTGGTCCCATGCAAGGAGATGGCCAGAGCATCATGGTCCCATGCCAGGAGATGGCCAGAGCATCATGGTCCCATGCCAGGACATAGCCAGAGCATCGTGGTCCCGTGCCTGAGGGTCCAGGATGGGAGAGACGACCCATGGAAGCTGAGCACTGAACCTGGTTGTGAAGAGGTCGACGTCTCGGGCGTCAGTAAAGCTGGCAGATCCACCGGGTAGAGATACCATTCTGTCAGTGACGGTTGGTCGGATCAGTGACAGTTGGTCGGGTCAGTGACGGTTGGTCGGGTCAGGACAGGGCGTCGGCTTGGACATTGTTGATCCAAGGAATGTGCCTTGCTTGGATCTAAACGTTCAGGGAGTAAATCAACCAGAAGAATTTGATCGTCAATGACAGGAGCGACATCAAATTGGTGGAGCCCATCTTGTTGATGTACCAAGTGACTGACAGATTGTCCGACTGGATCATGAGGTGTGACACACAAAGGAGCTCTGCCCAGTGGGACACCGCTCGAATGACCGCCTTGAATTTGAGGTTGTTGATATGAAGTCGCTTTTCTTTGATGGACAAGCACCCTGCCACCTGTAGATCATGGAAGCGTGCTCCCAAGCCCCAAGGTCAATGCGTCAATGAAGAGGTGGTGGGTCAGGGAAAATGTCTGCAAAGAGTCTCCGGCACAACATTCGACATCACCCACCACTGATGAAGATGCAGACGCTGTGAGATCAGGACCCGGCAATTGGAGGTAGGACTTCAGAAAGCACTGGATCTGTCAAAGCTGAAGTTGACCTCTCTAAGTGAGTGCTGCTGATGTCAGAAGACCTAGCAACTGTTGCCATTGGAGTAGAGGTAGGGGCTGTCTGAGTGCCAACGGCACGAATCGTTGTATCTTTAACCACCTGTCCAGGGGAACGAACATCATGCCCAGTCGATCCGTGGCGAAGTTGGATTCATCACTGTTGACTTGGGAGTGACTGTATCCTTAGATGAAGTGGTCAGTTCGGAGATGACTAAACATCAGCGGGAGTGGGGGATGACAAGCAGCTTGCAGCTGATGACCGGGGAGGAAAGGCCCACGTTCCACGGCCTTGGATTTCGACCACCGGTCAACCTCATGCTTGTGGCATTTGCATCGGTTAGACTCCTCCATGAGGTGGGAACACTGGGAACATCTTTTGTCTGCATAGCAACGGTCGCCTTGATCACAACAGTGATTAGGGGGATCAGCAGCTGAGGAAGTACGTCTGTAGACAGGCTGGGCATTGATCATGTTGTGTGCCCATCTTCTCTGGGTAGTATCGTAAAGGTTGATACAAATAAGGAGGTACACATAAAAATAACAATCGTGTATTCTCTAAACTTCAATACACGTCTCCACATGGTGGCAATGAGAAAGAGAATGATGTGGCAGGGGTAGTCAGGTGATCAAGTGATCGTGTAAGCTCACAAAGCCACAAGATTACAGTGTGAGACCCATTTGATGGGATGTGTTCAAGTGAATTGTTTTTAGAAGCTGGAAACTTTGTTCAAGCATGTTTTCACATTAGGATGGAAAGAAGAACGAAGGAATACTTAGAGTGAGCTAGGATAAATTTATAAATTGAAATGTCTCAAGACTGCTTAAAAGCATTTGGGATCGCAGACTGAAGTAAGATTCCAATAGTCTTACCTTCATTAGTTAGCCATCACAATGGCAACAGTTTACCTTTATTGCAACACATATAGTGTTTTCAACTTATGCAATACTATTAACAATCTCACTAAAATCAGATCTTCTAGACACTCCCTAGGATACCTCTCTGCATGAAAATCTGACATGCCCCAACCATTAGAGATTGTGTAAGGATGACCCTGGGTTAACATTGACGGCTGAATCTGAATGAAGGATGCCTGTCTTCCTGAGCCAATCAGATGACTGCTTCCTAAAACTATTTGGATCTAATTCTCTGCCATCTTGATTCAGAAATTTGATCTTAACAAAAGAAAACCAACATATAACCATGACAACACAAATATATTTTCCATTGTAAACTACAGTGTGTATGAAATATCCAAACAATATCATTGTGTAGCTTTTATAATTTCCATTTGGAATTGCCTGTTTAATTAGAAACTTCACCTGTGACCTGAGAAGGGGATGTCAGATCTTCACACATTGAGGTATTTTAGTTAGATAGTACAGTTGCGAAAGTGAAAATGTCCTCGACAGACACCCTGAATAAGACGTTCGGAACTGACCTTCCAGATACTTGGCGACCTCCTTGATGGGTCTGAAGCCACACAGGCCCTGGAAGGGGGTCAGGGCGATGGCCATCTCGGGCTTGTGGTTGCTGTCTTTGTACGCACCAGGATTCTTCTTGTGCAGCACCTCGGCTAGAACCTCAAACATTCAACCAGGTTTTACTAAACCTACTAAAGGACTTTTTAGAAAAATTCATGCATATTCATCGTCCAAACCATCCATTGAGGCCTTCAGCATGAATATGCATGAATTTGGCTAAAATGTCTGTGTTCCTACACACATATGACTTACGAAGGGGCACAAATAATATCCACTGCGAGACCCATGCGATTCATAAAATTATGCAGAGCTCCAGACACACTACGAACAATAAATCACCAGAAGCCAACTAAGTTTGAGTTGATTGTGTACCAATACCCATGAAACATTAATAAACAACAATAGCATAATGAGTGATTACCCAGTGTAGTCTTTTCAGCTTGTGTATGTGTATGTCTTCACAGATGTTTAAATACTGATGGAATGTCGGCCAGTGTTCCCATTTACCGGTAATTACCAGTTTTTTACCGGTGAAATTATGCTTGGACCGGTAATTCATGTGACTGCCAGTCCCTGTCGACGGCAAATAAAGTACCTTATAAATCTTTGTTGTTGAACAAAACATTGGTGATATTCAGTATATTTTTTGAACAAAGTCCGCTTGTATGTTACCATCAGAGTTTCCTGTTGTCTATTTTTTGTGCAAGGAAATAAAATTTCACTTTGCTTTGAGGTTAAATATATATTTGAAGTGCCTCTCGAATACCCTAACAAAAACGAGAAAATTGTGACTGAACTTTGTGTGAATGATGTGTAATTTTATTTGTTGAAAGTTGGGACTTACAAAAATTAGAGGGGACTGGTAATTTTTTGAGTTGCCAGTCCACCAGGACCGGCAGTTTCAAAACCCAACGGGAACACTGGTCGGCATCATGTATACATGAACTCTATTGCATTGAATAGTGCAAAGTAGTGCTCTTCTAACCTTGACATGTATTGCTTTAAAAACATCCACAAGATTCACTCACACAACCACTTTCTCTTTGTGAGTGTGTGAGTGCGTGCGTGCGGGTACGTGTGTTTGCGAGGTGGACGTACATGTGTATCTGTTTACCAAGCACCAGCCAGGGTAACAACAAGTACCATCCTTGGTATGATGTGCAAGGAGATTGAACCACCAACCCTCTCATAGCATATACTCACCAGACTAATAACTCTCATAGCATATACTCACCAGACTAATAACTCTCATAGCATATACTCACCAGACTAATAACTCTCATAGCATATACTCACCAGACTAATAACTCTCATAGCATATACTCACCAGACTAATAACTCTCATAGTATATACTCACCAGACTAATAACTCTCATAGCATATTCTCACCAGATTAATAACTCTCATAGCATATACTCACCAGACTAATAACTCTCATAGCATATACTCACCAGACTAATAACTCTCATAGCATAAACTCACCAGACTAATAACTCTCATAGTATATACTCACCAGACTAATAACTCTCATAGCATATTCTCACCAGATTAATAACTCTCATAGCATATACTCACCAGACTAATAACTCTCATAGCATATACTCACCAGACTAATAACTCTCATAGCATATACTCACCAGACTAATAACTCTCATAGCATATACTCACCAGACTAATAACTCTCATAGCATATACTCACCAGACTAATAACTCTCATAGCATATACTCACCAGACTAATAACTCTCATAGCATATACTCACCAGATTTGGATGGGCCTGTATGGACAAAGAGGTCCTGACAGACAGAACTTTGAACAAGAAGGGTAGTTTCCCCTTGAAGTACGACTCGACCTTTGACCCCAGCTTGTCTGGGTTCCTCTTTATCCAGTCTGACAGTTCCTCCTCTGTCTTCCCTGGAATGGAAACTCGGGAGGGGCCATTCGGGTGTGTCCCCATCCACAGCTGAAACATAGTCAAATCCATCTCATTATCTTTGTCTATCTGTAGGGATATATACCTGTGACGATCCGGGGTAGAATAGGTCTTCAGCAACCTATGCTTGTTGTAAAAGGCGACAATGCTTGTTGTGAGAGGCGACTAACGGGATCGGGTGGTCAGGCTCGCTGACTTGGTTGATGCATGTTATCGTATCCCAATTGCGTGGATTGATGCTCATGATATCAATCACTGGATTGCCTGCTGACTCGATTATTTTATCATGGTGTAACATTTATACTAAGTCATCCTATAATAATTAGATCCACATCAAGTGCTTTTATGAGTTACCATGGTGTAATATTTATACATCATTTCATATAATAGTTTAGCAAGTAATACTTATCATCAGGAAAAATGCATATATAAAATATCAGTAGTTTCAGTTATAGCTTTTTAGACAGATGCTAGCCTAAGGTAATGGGAGCGCATCTCCTAGACATACTATTCAATAAAACAAGAGTTATGTCTACATAGTTTAATTGATTTGAAGCTTTTAGATAAATGCTAGCCAGAGGTATCTTTTGTCTGGGAGATGGGATCTTGATACCTTAGGCTAGCATCTGTCTAAAAAGCTATAACTGAAACTACTGATATTTTATATATACATTTTTCCTGATGATAAGTATTACTTGCTAAACTATTATATGAAATGATGTATAAATATTACACCATGGTAACTCGTAAAAGCACTTGATGTGGATCTAATTATTATAGGATGACTTAGTATAAATGTTACACCATGATAATTTACAGACCGCCGTCATACAGCAGGAATATTGCTGAGTGCGGCGTTAAACAACAAACAAATAAAACTGTAGTGATGAAAAGGAGTTCCACAGCAGTCACATATCACCACTTAGGGAGATAGTTTGTTTGTTCGCTGTTTAACGCTGCACTCTGCAATATTCCAGCTGCATGACAGCAGTCTGGCCAAGACAATCCAGTGATTGATATCATGAACAACAATCTACACAACTGGGATACTTTGCATTAACAAAGTCAGCGATCCGGTTTGTCACCTCTTACAACAAGCATGGGCTGCTGAGACCTATTCTTACGCAAAACTTCCCAGGGGCATTTTGGAAGAACTTCATAGAGATTTAGTACTGGGTACTATTGTGCTGTGAAACTAGATAGATAACACAGTCAATACATGTCTTCTCATCAGATTTCAGAAGAATGACATATAGTTTTTATTCAGATCGTGGGACAAAGCCCACTTACCATCAGGTCTAAACATGCTGAACATGCTTGCTTCAGGAAATGAGGCTGTTCAGATTTTAGAGAGGACAAGAAATAAAGGCATTGTTAAGTGCATGATATAATGAAGTTTCATTATCTATAGGAAAATAGTGACAAAAAATCAAATGTTAAAATCTTTCAAATTTCACTGTTTTTCCAAATATTTTTCAATTTCTGTGAGAAAATTGTGAACACAAGGTGTCATCACTGATTTTCAGTGATCCATTCATATAAGTTTTACTGCTATTTTACATTTAACACCCTATGGAATCTTTTTAGCCGTATAGTTATGGTTATTCTCTGGCGTTGACATTTAATCACAATAAACAAAGGTGTAAGAGTGAGTGAGTGAGTGTGGTTCTACGCCGCTTAGGAATATTCCAGCAATATCAAAGCGGGGGACACCAGAAATGGGCTTCACACATTGTACGCATGTGGGGAATCGAACCTGGGTCTTTAACGCTTTATTAAGCAGTAGGCTACCCTACGATATGTATCAAGATACCGTGCTCACGATCCAATATGTATCACAATACTTGCATGTGCTTTTATCTCTGGTGCGTAAGCCATCTTTTTCATTGATAAGATGGCCAATACCTGGTACACTAACGATTTACAGTTAGCAGTGTCGTATAAAGCAATGGATGAAAATATTTACGTTTTCAATACTCAGTTCCACGAGTAATTAGTGTTTGGTGTAAGATTTATTAAAGAATACACTTAAGGTAAGAATCTATACTTTTTACTTGGTGTGCGATTGTGATCGTAAACAAATCGCGATCCACCATTGGTGTTTTGTCCCACTACCATGTTTTACCTCAGCATAAGGTGTGTTGTCCTCGATGACAAACTCAGGGTCCACAGCTTGAGACAGCTGGGCCACCTCACTCTCTGCCCCAACTTTGCCCCAGGCATATTTCTGTACTGCACACTTCAGCAAAAAAACTGTGGAATATATCATTATAAACATATAAATAAGTTTCAAGAAAACTGTGGAATATATCATTATTAACATATAAATAGGTTTCAAGAAAACTGTGGAATATATCATTATAAACATATAAATAGGTTTCAAGAAAACTGTGGAATATATCATTATAAACATATATATAGGTTTCAAGAAAACTGTGGAATATATCATTATAAACATATAAATAGGTTTCAAGAAAACTGTGGAATATATCATTATAAACATATAAATAAATTTCAAGTGATTCCGTGTCATTTGACTGGCTAACCAACAATAAGTCTTGTGTTTATGTCATCATACAGCCCGTCACCAAGCACCCAGTATATATGTCAACAAGATAAGTGCCGGGCCAACAAAATTAAGTATTCCCCTCTGTCTTGCCATTCATTAACCGTAGGGCACACCCCATTGTGTATCAACAACCAATAATATTCCTTTTATTGTTCTAAATGTTAGTTAAATACATAGAGAAGCAAGATGTTAGGCAGAAGGTTTGACCCTCAAACCAAGGAAACCTCTGAACCAAAGCCCAGAGGGTTGTACCGACTCTCTGAGGCATCCACAGCTATATTTTAAGAAATTGTTCATTGTTTTTGTAAATAAAATCGCAGTTAGTCTCCTGTGACTCTGTCTCTTTGCTGACTAATTCCCCCACGAAAACCAGCACACCATTTGGAAGGGTTTGAACATCAGAACAGAACCATAATACAATACGACTTATAACACTGATATATACATGAAAAACCTGTAGGAGGTGAACGTTGGGAGGCAGTTTGCCTCCCTCTTGAAGTTTGTGTCTGAAAAGAGTGTGTCAGTCATTGCATACACACACAGCAAGGATTTTCGCTAGATCTATTGGTTTTGTTGTCAGCACAGGTACCACAGAAACGTACCCTAGTGTGACAATATTAACAGCATTGTAGTCAGGAATGAAGGGTTTTATGGTAAACAGCACACTTGTGGCATACTGCTTATTTGAACGAGTTTAGCCCAAAGCGGTTTCGTCCATTGTGCAAATTCACAGTGCCGTACACCTATGTTTTGGCCCACAGGGAAACATTTTCAGGGTGCTTCAGTCAATATTTGCCAAATGTATTATCAATAATGACAACCACGAGGGACCGTTCGCTCTGTATCGTGCCATCACGGGCAACCACACCCGCACCAAGGGGTCATTCGGTCAGTTCGGACACATGACGACCGCGACAGATCGTTTCACACCCCGGTGCCCAACTTCAAGGACATTTTAACACAAAAAAGTAACACGTCCAAGTTGATGACAGTTACAAACTCAACATCGACACAATACGTGACAGAACTTGTCAGGTAATGCAATCAGATTGAAACTGCTCAGGTGATTTAGATTATAATTATGAAATTATATGGTTCGTTGCTGAAGAAAAAATATTGCAAAAAAGACATTAATAAGCACCTTGCGGATTGTCTGCCATGTTGGCTGTTTATACAGAGTTCACAATTTATTTACGAATATATTTATGTCATATAAATATATGTACTTTTTGAACGATGTGTCATGCAACAATCGTAGCCGCTAATTTTATATTTAAAATATTTGTTGGGAAATAATAAGATTGATAGTAGATTCATAAGGATCTGAAAAGTCCTTAGCTCTGTATAATATGTATACACTGGTTCCCGGATATTTTTGCGCTGCGTAACGATATGCAAATATGTAGACACGGAGCCCAGCTTTGTAACACTCAACCGGAAGTTTATTGTCGGACATTATTTTTCGGAGAGAAGACGCTTCACCTTTTCTGTAGAATGACCAAGCGTAGCGTTTGATTTGTTATCGTGATTTGCGACAGAAATCTTGTATGATCGCAAAATTAAAGGAAAGGCACGAACAATAAACATAGCAGAGTATTAACGATGTCACAACCATCGCAATTCATCCAAGGTAGGCGAATTTTGCAAAGCTCACTTTGCTCATCTGTAACCAGCTGGAATGTCCCGTAATATTAGAGCTGCATCCCTTACTCAGTTTCAATAAATGCAGTTAATGTTTCTACCCTGAAAGAACTGACTCTAACGTTGTATTTGTGAAATAATAAACAAGAAAGCTGTATTTTTGGAAAACTGCATGCTACATGGCTACTTGGAAAAAAACCTCAAAAGAAGTTGAGAAAATGACTAGCATGCATTTGTTTTGTTTAATGTGATTGAACAGATGTCTTAAAATTGGACATCAACATCGTAAAAGTACAGGAAGATAGAATGGCATGCGGAAGGCTCACCAGGCTGTGTTTCCCTCTGTTACATGCCTCCAAACATGTAGTATTTTTCATTAACTTTGGTCCTTGAAAATGACTTTTACTACGGATGCTTTTATCATGTTTATAACAAGAATTTTTTGGGTCACTGTTATTGTTTTGGTTTATCAACCTAGTTAGCCAATCAAATGCCCCGGAATCACTTACAATATATTTATTGTGCAATTATACAATAAATGTAGTTTTATCCTGTTTACAATGAAGATTTTCTGAACTAATACATTGGGATAATGTCTCCTCCCAGGGATGATGGGACCAGTGAATATGGCCAACATGAATTCCTATGGGAATATGACCTCAGTGGGAGGAGGAAATAGACTTGACCCAGCAAACAACAACATGCCATTGAGCTTCAACACAGGGAAGAATAAACCACCAATGGCCAGAAGCAGTAATGAGTATGGGGAATCAAGTCGGCAAGGTAACCGCAACCTGTGTGAAGTTTCAGCACATTATCATGAAGACCATGTTTACGTGTCAAAGGATAACATTTTTTGAAGAATGTCAGGAATGTATGAATTGATTTTTAAATGATGGTATTAATGTTAAGCCTGTTGCATTGTTTGAGAGGCAGAAAGCAATGTAAAGTGTACTGTAATGTTTGTATTCAATTACACAACCATGCCTGTTAAATGTGAACCATAATAATTTTATTGATATGCTTAAAAAACTCAGATACATGATAATAGGGACACTTTGGAATCACTCTTGAGCAATAGAGCCTGGGTTTTGTAACTCCATATATACTCGGACCCCATGGTACCACGGCATTCATCGTATCGCGGCATTTGTGATTTACGATAGTTCACGCGGGACACACCCCTTAGCGGCTGTCTATTAATGCAAATCAGTAACCTCGAAGTGCTCACTTCGTAAACAATTTCAATTTCGTCGGAATGTTCCGTCTGCTGTAAGTAAGGAGTTATTAATCTGTTGATACATATTTCTGGCATCTGTTGTAATATTGCCTTACCCCCATCTATCAATGGCCAACGATATAACCCGCAGTTCCCCAAGTAAACTTTCTCTATCGACCTGAACTAGATCATCTGCATATTCATGGCGACTAATGAGGTAGCGGAAGTTACGTAGTCCGCACATTTTTCCCCGCTCTGTGCCCAGAAACTATTGGGATATCATAAAGGCCATAATGCCAAACTTAGAAATACGTTCTTCACTAGTAACCAAAAGATAAATACATACTTTGGGCATACTAGGAGTGCTTTTTATATATTTATTGTTGACTTTTAACATTTTTCAATTTTGTGACAAATTATTGCGATCTAATTTTTTTAAAACAATCTTAAAATATCATTTCTGATATTTTGATGTTGACTTATAAAAATATTTTTCTCTTACTTTTCGGGAAATATGCATTGAATACCTATTGCTGATAACACATTTAGAATTTTACTTGTGCTGTCTTTGCACTTGTCTGGACAAATCACTGATGTCTGGCAGTATCGTACCAAGTGATTGGTAGAATTATGTCCTCTTTTTGTCCAATTCGGACCTCCATACACAACTTTTCTCTGTACCGCGATACAATGGAGTTCTCTCCCTTGTCAAACAGAGCGAGAGGCCTGGCTTTTACTCGGAGCTACTAATGTAAATAATGAACTTTTATCAGTAAAATATGCATTTTTAGATCAAATAAATGACATCTGATATAGAGAACACGAATAATCATAACGGTTAGTGAGTTCATTTTGTTCCGTTTAGCGTACATGACAAGTATAGCGATACCCCGAGGTTGCAGGCTACATGATATAATCAATAACATTCAGGCTATTTTTAATATGTTAATCATGTTCTTACTGGCTGAAAAAAATGTGAAATACTTGATACTTTAGAAGTTTTTGAAGCTTTAAAAAAAGAAGTCTCTTTAGCTCCATTAAACGTTGCTATGTGTTGCTAAGCTCTACACATTTGTCTACAGTTATCCCTGACGAATCCCCCTCCAGCACAACAGAGGGCATGATGCAACAGCAGCAGCAGCAGCAGCAGCAGGGGAACATGTTGCAAGGCGGCAGTGACATGTACAACATGGGATACGGAGGACACATGGGATACGGTGGAGATCCCTCTATGATGATGATCGGCTCTATGATGAACCAGGTAGGGATCTGCTATGGGTGTTGAAGTTACTTGAACAAATGTGGTGCCATGAAATGTATCCCTGTGTGATGGGTTTTCGGACGCTTAAGAAACATCCGTAGATTTCTCGCTTATCACACAAACAACAGTAAAAACTTGTCACTCACTTAAAAAGACGTTTTTATTTTAAAATCAAGCAATCTTCTGAATAGTTTCTTGATAGGCATTGAGGAGTTGGAGTTCTAAGTAAGGATAAGATTTATGGATGAACAAGTTCTTTATTTACACTCGGGCATCGTTTCGGTGTAGGTTCTAAGACCATTATCAAGCTAGTGATTAGAGATTTTCCATAGCCCGTGTGAAGTACTGCTATGCAACCTTGGCCATTTATTCGACATTCTAGAATATTATTCTTTGTCAGTTTCAAATTCAATTCGAGAAATATATTTTCAATGAGTAGTATGGAATGGTACACCATTTTGAATATAGGTTGTTTGATGCATGTCATTGTATCCTATTTGCGTAGATCCATGCTTATAATGTCAATCCCTGGATTGTCTTTTCCAGACTCGATTATTTACAGACCATCATATCAGGGTTAGAAATTGGCACTAGTCCTATAGTCCTTGCCAACTGCCCAATGGTAAAGGTATCATAAGGACTAGTAGAAATTTGCCATTTTTAAGGGTTTTGCTATATGTTATCATTATAAGGACTAGTGGACGAAAACTATTACTTTCTAACGCTGCATATAGCTGGAATATTGCTGAGTGTGGCACTAAACAACAAACAAACAAACAAACAAAACATGATGTAGCCTGGTATTCCAGGAATCATACTTCCCGTTTCTTGTTGCAGTACGGCATGAACATGATGGGCCAAATGGGCCCCATGCCAAGTTACGCAGAGAGAGAAGTGATCACACTCAAGAGCTGTGTGCTGTACCCCCCTCCCCCAGGTAATCTCCAGCACCCAGTGTTGCTATGATACTCTGCCATTGAGACATGCCAATAGTCCAAAGCCTGAGTCTGCTCAAGTTACCTTTGGTCTACTAGTCTTAACTAAGACCCATATGTAACGATTGCGATTCACTGAAACAGACGAGGACAGTCAGGTTTGGTCTACTAGCCTTAACTAAGACCCATATGTAACGATTGCGATTCACTGAAACAGACGAGGACAGTCAGTTTTGGTCTACTAGCCTTAACTAAGACCCATATGTAACGATTGCGATTCACTGAAACAGACGAGGACAGTCAGGTTTGGTCTACTAGTCTTAACTAAGACCCATATGTAAAGATTGCGATTCAATGAAACAGACGAGGACAGTCAGATTTGGTCTACTAGTCTTAACTAAGACCCATATGTAACGATTGCTATTCACTGAAACAGACGAGGACAGTCAGGTATGGTCTACTAGTCTTAACTAAGACCTATATGTAAAGATTGCGATTCAATGAAACAGACGAGGACAGTCAGATTTGGTCTACTAGTCTTAACTAAGACCCATATGTAAAGATTGCGATTCAATGAAACAGACGAGGACAGTCAGGTATGGTCTACTAGCCTTACACTAAGACCCATATGTAAAGATTGCGATTCAATGAAACAGACGAGGACAGTCAGGTTTGGTCTACTAGTCTTAACTAAGACCCATATGTAACAATTGCGATTCACTGAAACAGACGAGGACAGTCAGGTTTGGTCTACTAGTCTTAACTAAGACCCATATGTAAAGATTGCGATTCAATGAAACAGACGAGGACAGTCAGGTATGGTCTACTAGTCTTAACTAAGACCCATATGTAAAGATTGCGATTCAATGAAACAGACGAGGACAGTCAGGTATGGTCTACTAGCCTTAACTAAGACCCATATGTAAAGATTGCGATTCAATGAAACAGACGAGGACAGTCAGATTTGGTCTACTAGTCTTAACTAAGACCCATATGTAAAGATTGCGATTCAATGAAACAGACGAGGACAGTCAGGTATGGTCTACTAGCCTTACACTAAGACCCATATGTAAAGATTGCGATTCAATGAAACAGACGAGGACAGTCAGATTTGGTCTACTAGTCTTAACTAAGACCCATATGTAAAGATTGCGATTCAATGAAACAGACGAGGACAGTCAGGTTTGGTCTACTAGTCTTAACTAAGACCCATATGTAAAGATTGCGATTCAATGAAACAGACGAGGACAGTCAGATTTGGTCTACTAGTCTTAACTAAGACCCATATGTAAAGATTGCGATTCAATGAAACAGACGACGGCAGTCAGATTTGGTCTACTAGTCTTAACTAAGACCCATATGTAAAGATTGCGATTCAATGAAACAGACGAGGACAGTCAGATTTGGTCTACTAGCCTTAACTAAGACCCATATGTAAAGATTGCGATTCACTGAAACATACGAGGACAGTCAGGTTTGCTCTACTAGCCTTAACTAAGACCCGTATGTAACGATTGCGATTCACTGAAACAGACGAGGACAGTCACTTGGGCCCAGTAGACCAAATCCATGCAGTGTGCTGTACAGAGTTCTAATCCTTGGTTTGCAAGCACCAGCCCACGCTAATCCTTTCACATAGACTGTTTGTGGCCAAATGTTTTGAGTTCACAAGCCCATACTTGGCTCTTTGCATAATTTTCAGTTGATTTCCATTCAGTGCCATCATATGGACTATTGATATTAGCTGCACTGTCTAGACTGAACAGAATTTATTAGACTGGCGCTTTGGACTAGTGGCTGAAGACACAGACTGTATTAAACTTGCATTCCTTGATAAAAGAGAAATACTGTTCAAGGCAGCATTAAGCCCAGTTCCTGGAATGAATCAATCTCATTTGACAATCTCTTTGACAAAATTTATATATATTATACAAAAACAACATTTAATAATAATATGAATATTTTGCATATCAATAATGTGCCAAATCCACACATGAAAGAGCTACATTAATACCCTGTTCAGTGTGCCCTTGATTTTCATTCTCAGCTCCCTGGGGAGTATACAACCCAACTTGCCTGAGAGGCGTCATTTACTGGTGGGCGATCAGGTATATGTTGAACATAGGTTGTAGAGGTCTAGTATATGTGATGATATTAAGCTATGGATTATTTATTGTTTGGGTCATATTTAATCTTTCACAGGTGCCCCTCCTCGGAGTGTGCGAGAGCGTCCACCCGGTTGCCGCACAGCTTTCATTGGCGGACTCCCTGAGAACACAACTGAAGAAATCCTGCAGGAAGTGTTTGAGAAGTGTGGCAACATCGTCAGCGTGCGACTCAGCAAGAAGAACTTCTCCCATATCAGATTCGAGTTTCATGACAGTGTTGAGAGGGCTCTCTTCATCTCAGGTAGACACCCCAGCCCTCACACGCACTAGTGTAGTGGAATAGGGGCTTAGTGGTTAAAGGGTTCGCTTGTCACGCCGAAGACCCTTGTTTAATTCCCGATATGGGTAAAATGTGTGAAGCCCATTTCTGGTGTCCCCCGCCGCGATATTGCTGGAATATTGCTAAAAGCGACGTAAAACCCTACTCACTCACTCACAGTAGTTGAATAGACCAACCTTGTGTCATTGGGCACTGCTGGGATGTCATGATAGTTAATATGATGTTGCATCGTTTGTTTGCTAATTAGGGAGGGTGAGGTGGCCTAGTGGTTCAAGTGTTCACTCGTCATGCTGAAGGCCTGGGTTTGATTTCCTTGTATGGGTATAATGTGTGACACCCATTTCGGGTGTCATTTGCCGTTAATGCTGGAATGATGCTAAAAGCGGTGTAAGTCCTCTCTCACGACCTCACAAAATCAGATATGTAAGGGCAGCATCATCATATAACATAGTAGAGCGTCCGCCTGGAGAGAGGAAGGTTTGGGGTTTGATCCCCGGCCGCGTCCTACCAATAGGTGTTAAAAGAGGGTACTTGTTGTTACCCTGCCCGGTTGTCGGCAATAGGGGAATAAAACAAGGACTTGTCGGCTCAGAAAAGGTATACTGTGTACCCTTCCGTGGTCTAGTGGTAGAGCGTCCGCCTGGAGAGAGGAAGGTTTGGGGTTTGAAATGCCGTGTCCTACCAATAGGTGTTAAAAGATGGTACTTGTTGTTACCCTGCCTGGTTGTTGGCAATAAGGGAATAAAACAAGGACTTGTTGGCTCAGAATCAGTATACTGTGTCCCCTTCCGTGGTCTAGTGGTAGAGCGTCCGCCTGGAGAGAGGAAGGTTTGGGGTTTGATCCCCAGCCGCGTCCTACCAATAGGTGTTAAAAGATGGTACTTGTTGTTACCCTGCCTGGTTGTTGGCAATAAGGGAATAAAACATGGACTTGTCAGCTCAGAATCAGTATACTGTGTCCCCTTCCGTGGTTTAGTGGTAGAGCGTCCGCCTGGAGAGAGGAAGGTTTGGGGTTTGATCCCCGGCCGCGTCCTACCAATAGGTGTTAAAAGAAGGTACTTGTTGTTACCCTGCCCGGTTGTCGGCAATAGGGGAATAAAACATGGACTTGTTGGCTCAGAAAAGGTATACTGTGTACCCTTCCGTGGTCTAGTGGTAGAGCGTCCGCCTGGAGAGAGGAAGGTTTGGGGTTTGAAATGCCGTGTCCTACCAATAGGTGTTAAAAGATGGTACTTGTTGTTACCCTGCCTGGTTGTTGGCAATAAGGGAATAAAACAAGGACTTGTTGGCTCAGAATCAGTATACTGTGTCCCCTTCCGTGGTCTAGTGGTAGAGCGTCCGCCTGGAGAGAGGAAGGTTTGGGGTTTGATCCCCAGCCGCGTCCTACCATAGGTGTTAAAAGATGGTACTTGTTGTTACCCTGCCTGGTTGTCGGCAATAAGGGAATAAAACAAGGACTTGTCGGCTCAGAAACGGTATACTGTGTCCCCTTCCGTGGTCTAGTGGTAGAGCGTCCGTCTGGAGAGAGGAAGGTTTGGGGTTTGATCCCCAGCCGCGTCCTACCATAGGTGTTAAAAGATGGTACTTGTTATTACCCTGCCTGACATTCTGCATAAAGGCTGAAACAAGGACTGAGTCAGTGTACTGTGTCTGAGTGGGGTATTCATGTTAAACAATCAGTACAGGCACCCACACACACACATACACACAGGCAGGCACGTTGCTACATAAGTCAAAAAGTCTTGGACGCGACGTTAAACCCCATTTCACCTCACCTGTAGGAAAAGAGGAAATGCTGCTATCAAATATTGGTTAACTATATGAATAAGAATCTGTTTTTGGTATTTATGTTGAAATTTTTGTTTGTGTGGAATAAACATCCATTGATTGACGTAATGAGCATCGATCCACGCAATTGGGATACGGTGACATGCATCAACCAAGTCAGCTAGCCTGTCCACCTGCTCTTGTTGGTTTCCCTTATGACGAACATGGGTTGCTGAAGACCAATTCTAACCCAGATTTGCATGGAAATATTGTAATCTTGAAAATTGTTCTTGTTCAGGTTATCGAATGAAGATCGACAACGAGGACGACAAGGCCAACACCGGCCGGATCCACGTGGACTACGCACTGGCCCGAGACGACCAGTACGAGTGGGAGTGTCAGCAGCGTGCTCTGGCCAGGGAGATGCGGCACCAGCAGCGCATCGAGGAGGATCTCATGAGGCCACCCAGTCCTCCCCCTCCCATCGTCTTCTCCGAACACGAGGCTATGTCCCTCACTGAAAAACTGAAAAGTAAGTTTGTTGTAGCTGTCTGTTCTCTGTTGCTGAGCTCCATTATTGATCCCAGGGGTGTCTTGGGGCCACTCGGGGGGCAGGGAAAGTGAGGGGCAGCTAGGGGACAGTGGTAGCTAGGGGGGCTGGGGAAGGAGCAGCTAGAGGGCTGGGGAAGGAGCAGCAAGGGGGCAGGGGAAGAAGCAGCTAGGGGGGCAGGGAAAGAAGCAGCTAGGGGGCAGGGGAAGGAGCAGCTAGGGGGGCAGGGAAAGAAGCAGCTAGGGGGGCAGGGAAAGAAGCAGCTAGGGGGCAGGGGAAGGAGCAGCTAGGGGGCAGGTGAAGGAGCAGCTAGGGGTGTCGGGGAAGGAGCAGTTAGGGGGCTGGGGAAGGAGCAGTTAGGGGGCTGGGGAAGGAGCAGCAAGGGGGGCAGGGGAAGGAGCAGCTAGGGGGCTGGGGAAGGAGCAGCAAGGGGGGCAGGGGAAGGAGCAGCTAGGGGGCTGGGGAAGGAGCAACTAGAGGGGCAGGGGAAGGAGCAGCTAGGGGGGCAGGGGAAGGAGCAGCTAGAGGGCTGGGGAAGGAGCAGCTAGGGGGCTGGGGAAGGAGCAGCAAGGGGGCAGGGGAAGGAGCAGTTAGGGGGGCAGGGGAAGGAGCAACTAGAGGGGCAGGGGAAGGAGCAGCTAGGGGGGCAGGGGAAGGAGCAGCTAGAGGGCTGGGGAAGGAGCAGCTAGGGGGCTGGGGAAGGAGCAGCAAGGGGGGCAGGGGAAGGAGCAGCTAGGGGTTCAGGGGAAGGAGCAGCTAGGGGTTCAGGGGAAAAAGCAGCTAGGGGGCAGGGGAAGGAGCAGCTAGAGGGCAGGGGAAGAAGCAGCTAGAGGGCAGGGGAAAAAACAGCTAGGGGGCAGGGGAAGGAGCAGCTAGAGGGCAGGGGAAGAAGCAGCTAGGGGGCAGGGGAAGGAGCAGCTAGGGGGGCAGGGGAAGGAGCAGTTAGGGGGGCAGGGGAAGGAACAGCTAGGGGGCAGGGGAAGGAGCAGCTAGGGGGGCAGGGGAAGGAGCAGCTAGAGGGCTGGGGAAGGAGCAGCTAGAGGGGCTGGGGAAGGAGCAGCTAGGGGGCAGGGGAAGAAGCAGCTAGGGGGCTGGGGAAGGAGCAGTTAGGGGGGCAGGGGAAGGAGCAGCTAGAGGGCTGGGGAAGGAGCAGCTAGGGGGGCAGGGGAAGGAGCAGTTAGGGGGGCAGGGGAAGGAGCAGCTAGAGGGCTGGGGAAGGAGCAGCTAGGGGGGCAGGGGAAGGAGCAGCTAGGGGGCAGGGGAAGGAGCAGCTAGGGGGCTGGGGAAGGAGCAGCTAGGGGTGTCGGGGAAGGAGCAGTTAGGGGGCTGGGGAAGGAGCAGCTAGGGGTGTCGGGGAAGGAGCAGTTAGGGGGCTGGGGAAGGAGCAGCAAGGGGGGCAGGGGAAGGAGCAGCTAGGGGGCCTGGGGAAGGAGCAGTTAGGGGGGCAGGGGAAGGAGCAGCTAGGGGGCTGGGAAAGGAGCAGCTAGGGGTGTCGGGGAAGGAGCAGCTAGGGGGCAGGGGAAGGAGCAGCTAGGGGGCAGGTGAAGGAGCAGCTAGGGGTGTCGGGGAAGGAGCAGTTAGGGGGCTGGGGTAGGAGCAGTTAGGGGGCTGGGGAAGGAGCAGCAAGGGGGGCAGGGGAAGGAGCAGCTAGGGGGCTGGGGAAGGAGCAGCAAGGGGGGCAGGGGAAGGAGCAGCTAGGGGGCTGGGGAAGGAGCAACTAGAGGGGCAGGGGAAGGAGCAGCTAGGGGGGCAGGGGAAGGAGCAGCTAGAGGGCTGGGGAAGGAGCAGCTAGGGGGCTGGGGAAGGAGCAGCAAGGGGGCAGGGGAAGGAGCAGTTAGGGGGGCAGGGGAAGGAGCAACTAGAGGGGCAGGGGAAGGAGCAGCTAGGGGGGCAGGGGAAGGAGCAGCTAGAGGGCTGGGGAAGGAGCAGCTAGGGGGCTGGGGAAGGAGCAGCAAGGGGGGCAGGGGAAGGAGCAGCTAGGGGTTCAGGGGAAGGAGCAGCTAGGGGTTCAGGGGAAAAAGCAGCTAGGGGGCAGGGGAAGGAGCAGCTAGAGGGCAGGGGAAGAAGCAGCTAGAGGGCAGGGGAAAAAACAGCTAGGGGGCAGGGGAAGGAGCAGCTAGAGGGCAGGGGAAGAAGCAGCTAGGGGGCAGGGGAAGGAGCAGCTAGGGGGGCAGGGGAAGGAGCAGTTAGGGGGGCAGGGGAAGGAACAGCTAGGGGGCAGGGGAAGGAGCAGCTAGGGGGGCAGGGGAAGGAGCAGCTAGAGGGCTGGGGAAGGAGCAGCTAGAGGGGCTGGGGAAGGAGCAGCTAGGGGGCAGGGGAAGAAGCAGCTAGGGGGCTAGGGAAGGAGCAGTTAGGGGGGCAGGGGAAGGAGCAGCTAGAGGGCTGGGGAAGGAGCAGCTAGGGGGGCAGGGGAAGGAGCAGTTAGGGGGGCAGGGGAAGGAGCAGCTAGAGGGCTGGGGAAGGAGCAGCTAGGGGGGCAGGGGAAGGAGCAGCTAGGGGGCAGGGGAAGGAGCAGCTAGGGGGCTGGGGAAGGAGCAGCTAGGGGTGTCGGGGAAGGAGCAGTTAGGGGGCTGGGGAAGGAGCAGCTAGGGGTGTCGGGGAAGGAGCAGTTAGGGGGCTGGGGAAGGAGCAGTTAGGGGGCTGGGGAAGGAGCAGCAAGGGGGGCAGGGGAAGGAGCAGCTAGGGGGGCTGGGGAAGGAGCAGTTAGGGGGGCAGGGGAAGGAGCAGCTAGGGGGCTGGGGAAGGAGCAGCTAGGGGTGTCGGGGAAGGAGCAGTTAGGGGGCAGGGGAAGGAGCAGCAAGGGGGGCAGGGGAAGGGGCAGCTAGGGGGCTGGGGAAGGAGCAACTAGAGGGGCAGGGGAAGGAGCAGCTAGGGGGGCAGGGGAAGGAGCAGCTAGAGGGCTGGGGAAGGAGCAGCTAGGGGGCTGGGGAAGGAGCAGCAAGGGGGCAGGGGAAGGAGCAGCAAGGGGGCAGGGGAAGGAGCTGTTAGGGGGGCAGGGGAAGGAGCAACTAGAGGGGCAGGGGAAGGAGCAGCTAGGGGGGCAGGGGAAGGAGCAGCTAGAGGGCTGGGGAAGGAGCAGCTAGGGGGCTGGGGAAGGAGCAGCAAGGGGGGCAGGGGAAGGAGCAGCTAGGGGTTCAGGGGAAGGAGCAGCTAGGGGTTCAGGGGAAAAAGCAGCTAGGGGGCAGGGGAAGGAGCAGCTAGAGGGCAGGGGAAGAAGCAGCTAGAGGGCAGGGGAAAAAACAGCTAGGGGGCAGGGGAAGGAGCAGCTAGAGGGCAGGGGAAGAAGCAGCTAGGGGGGCAGGGGAAGGAGCAGCTAGGGGTTCAGGGGAAGAAGCAGCAAGGGGGCAGGGGAAGGAGCAGCTAGGGGGGCAGGGGAAGGAGCAGCTAGGGGTTCAGGGGAAGGAGGAGCTAGGGGGGCAGGCGAAAAAGCAGCTAGGGGTTTAGGGGAAGGAGCAGTTAGGGGGCTGGGGAAGGAGCAGCTAGGGGGGCAGGGGAAGGAGCAGCTAGAGGGCAGGGGAAAAAGCAGCTAGGGGGGCAGGGGAAAAAGCAGCTAGGGGTCTGGGGAAGGAGCAGCAAGGGGGCAGGGGAAGGAGCAACTAGGGGGCAGGGGAAGGAGGAGCTAGGGGGCAGGGGAAGGAGGAGCTAGGGGGGCAGGCGAAGGAGGAGCTAGGGGGGCATGGAAAGAAGCTGCTAGGGGGCAGGGGAAGGAGCAGCTAGGGGGCAGGGGAAGGAGGAGCTAGGGGGGCAGGGGAAGGAGGAGCTAGGGGGGCAGGGAAAGAAGCAGCTAGGGGGCAGGGGAAGGAGGAGCTAGGGGGGCAGGGAAGGAGGAGCTAGGGGGGCAGGGGAAGGAGGAGCTAGGGGTGCAGGGGAAGGAGGAGCTAGGGGGCAGGGGAAGGAGGAGCTAGGGGGCAGGGGAAGAAGCAGCTAGGGGGCAGGGGAAGGAGCAGCTAGGGGGCAGGGGAAGGAGCAGCTAGGCGGGCAGGGGAAGGAGGAGCTAGGGGGGCAGGGGAAGAAGCAGCTAGGGGGCAGGGGAAGGAGCAGCTAGGCGGGCAGGGGAAGGAGGAGCTAGGGGGCAGGGGAAGGAGGAGCTGGCGGGCAGGGGAAGGAGGAGCTAGGGGGCAGGGGAAGGAGCAGCTAGGGGGCAGGGGAAGGAGGAGCTAGGGGGCAGGGGAAGGAGCAGCTAGGCGGGCAGGGGAAGGAGGAGCTAGGGGGCAGGGGAAGGAGGAGCTGGCGGGCAGGGGAAGGAGGAGCTAGGGGGCAGGGGAAGGAGCAGCTAGGGGGCAGGGGAAGGAGGAGCTAGGGGGCAGGGGAAGGAGCAGCTAGGCGGGCAGGGGAAGGAGGAGCTAGGGGGCTGGGGAAGGAGCAGCTAGGGGGCAGGGGAAGGAGGGGCAGGGGAAGGAGCAGCTAGGGAGGCAGGGGAAGGTGCAGCTACATCTTCCCGAGGAAAGGGAGATAACTGACTATAAGAGTCCAGTTTCCACCCTTGCCGAACTTGGCTGGAATTTCTGGGCTCGATTGTAGTTCCACTGGTCTCTATTACGAGTTATGGCCCTTCTATGTCCCTCCTCTTTACCAATCAGATTCCATCTCTGATATGACTTGTATTTGCTTTAAACGGAATGGCGATGCCCAGTGAAGACGATCTGATCGATGATCAATATTGTTATTGTAATAAAATGGGTCTTCCTTCTCAAAGTGAATCCGTTCAAGTGAGCACCTTGATTAAAAACTTAAACATAAAAGTTTTTAATTATCTGTTGATGATATGTTGATGGTACACATGCTTTGAAAATCCTGCAATCGTCCGAAATCTGCACAGCAGTTTACGAACCGGATATTGAATTCGTACGCAATTTGGATTGGACTATGCATAGATTTGTTAGTTTGTTAACTCCCTTGCCTTGGAAAGATGAGGCAGCTGGGTGTAGTAAGAGCAGCTGGGGGTAGTAAGAGCAGCTGGGTGTAGTAAGAGCAGCTGGGTGTAGTAAGAGCAGCTAGGTGTAGTAAGAGCAGCTGGGTGTAGTAAGAGCAGCTGGGGGTTGTAAGAGCAGTTGGGGGTAGTAAGAGCAGCTGGGTGTAGTAAGAGCAGCTGGGTGTAGTAAGAGCAGCTGGGTGTAGTAAGAGCAGCTGGGTGTAGTAAGAGCAGCTGGGGGTTGTAAGAGCAGCTGGGTGTAGTAAGAGCAGCTGGGTGTAGTAAGAGCAGCTGGGGGTAGTAAGAGCAGCTGGGTGTAGTAAGAGCAGCTGGGGGTTGTAAGAGCAGCTGGGTGTAGTAAGAGCAGCTGGGTGTAGTAAGAGCGGCTGGGGATAGTAAGAGCAGCTGGGTGTAGTAAGAGCAGCTGGGTGTAGTAAGAGCAGCTGGGGGTAGTAAGAGCAGCTGGGTGTAGTAAGAGCAGCTGGGGGTAGTAAGAGCAGCTGGGTGTAGTAAGAGAGGCTGGGTGTAGTAAGAGCAGCTGGGTGTAGTAAGAGCAGCTGGGTGTAGTAAGAGCAGCTGGGGTAGTAAGAGCAGCTGGGTGTAGTAAGAGCAGCTGGGTGTAGTAAGAGCAGCTGGGTGTAGTAAGAGCGGCTGGGTGTAGTAAGAGCGGCTGGGTGTAGTAAGAGCGGCTGGGGATAGTAAGAGAGGCTGGGTGTAGTAAGAGCGGCTGGGGATAGTAAGAGCAGCTGGGTGTAGTAAGAGCAGCTAGGGGTTGTAAGAGCAGCTGGGTGTAGTAAGAGCAGCTGGGTGTAGTAAGAGCAGCTGGGTGTAGTAAGAGCAGCTGGGTGTAGTAAGAGCAGCTGGGTGTAGTAAGAGCGGCTGGGGATAGTAAGAGAGGCTGGGTGTAGTAAGAGCAGCTAGGGGTTGTAAGAGCAGCTGGGGGTAGTAAGAGCAGCTGGGTGTAGTAAGAGCAGCTGGGTGTAGTAAGAGCAGCTAGGGGTTGTAAGAGCAGCTGGGTGTAGTAAGAGCAGCTGGGTGTAGTAAGAGCAGCTGGGTGTAGTAAGAGCAGCTGGGTGTAGTAAGAGCAGCTGGGTGTAGTAAGAGAGGCTGGGTGTAGTAAGAGCAGCTAGGGGTTGTAAGAGCAGCTGGGGGTAGTAAGAGCAGCTGGGTGTAGTAAGAGCAGCTGGGGGTAGTAAGAGCGGCTGGGGGTTGTAAGAGCAGCTGGGTGTAGTAAGAGCAGCTGGGTGTAGTAAGAGCAGCTGGGTGTAGTAAGAGCAGCTGGGGGTTGTAAGAGCAGCTTGGTGTAGTAAGAGCAGCTGGGGGTAGTAAGAGAGGCTGGGGGTAGTAAGAGCAGCTGGGTGTAGTAAGAGCAGCTGGGTGTAGTAAGAGCAGCTGGGGGTAGTAAGAGCAGCTTGGGGTAGTAAGAGAGGCTGGGGGTAGTAAGAGCAGCTGGGTGTAGTAAGAGCAGCTGGGTGTAGTAAGAGAGGCTGGGGGTAGTAAGAGCAGCTAGGGGTTGTAAGAGCAGCTGGGTGTAGTAAGAGCAGCTGGGTGTAGTAAGAGCAGCTGGGTGTAGTAAGAGCAGCTAGGGGTTGTAAGAGCAGCTTGGTGTAGTAAGAGAGGCTGGGAGTAGTAAGAGCAGCTGGGGGTAGTAAGAGCAGCTGGGGGTAGTAAGAGAGGCTGGGGGTAGTAAGAGCAGCTGGGGATAGTAAGAGCAGCTGGGTGTAGTAAGAGCAGCTGGGGATAGTAAGAGCAGCTGGGGATAGTAAGAGCAGCTGGGGGTAGTAAGAGAGGCTGGGGGTAGTAAGAGCAGCTGGGGGTAGTAAGAGAGGCTGGGGGTAGTAAGAGCAGCTGGGGATAGTAAGAGCAGCTGGGTGTAGTAAGAGCAGCTGGGAGTAGTAAGAGGAGCTGGGGGTAGTAAGAGCAGCTGGGTGTAGTAAGAGCAGCTGGGGGTAGTAAGAGCAGCTGGGTGTAGTAAGAGCAGCTGGGGGTAGTAAGAGCAGCTGGGTGTAGTAAGAGCAGCTGGGGGTAGTAAGAGCAGCTGGGGATAGTAAGAGCAGCTGGGTGTAGTAAGAGCAGCTGGGAGTAGTAAAAGCAGCTGGGGGTAGTAAGAGCAGCTGGGTGTAGTAAGAGCAGCTGGGGGTAGTAAGAGCAGCTGGGGATAGTAAGAGCAGCTGGGGGTAGTAAGAGAGGCTGGGGGTAGTAAGAGCAGCTGGGGTTAGCGGGTTGGTTACAGAGGCCTCTCTCTTTGTAATTTAGAGTGTGGTTCTGGAATTGTAATTTCCAGAAAAATCCGACCAGGATGACATTGTACGGCATGAAATTTGAGAATAGGCCAATCTAATCTACTGTTTGCTGTCTTTGGAAATAAATGTTTTGTTTTGAATATTTAGCAATGGCATATATTACTCCTAACATTGCCTAAGGGTAGAATGTGTGTAATAACTTCCCAATATTTGCAGACATACATTTTAGCGATTCTCAATGCTGATTGGGGTCATAATACGTCACAGTTCTTCATTGTTGAGAAAAATATGATATGATGTCATCCATTGTTTGTGACGTGACAAATTTATTATAATACGTCATCTGAACAATAGGCTGCCTTCAGATAAGTTTCTTCTGTAGGGTGGACATGTCATACGGTTTCCTTCGTTTTTTCTATTAAAATGTCGATGAGTAATATATAGGGTTACCTACTCTAGAATGACAGAGTTTCTGTGCTCAAGAGAATGAATACTGGAAGTCCCTTGCCAAAGACTCAGGATAAACACCATTCATTCAATCAGGACCCATGAAGGTCCGGGTAGAATAGGTCTTCAGCAACCCATGCTTGTCATAAAGGGCGACTATGCTTGCCGTAAGAGGTGACTAATATGATTGGGTGGTCAGACTCGTTGACTTGGTTGATGCATTTCATCAATCCCAATTGCGTGGATCGATGTTCATGATGTCAATCACTGGATTTTCTGGTCCAGGCTGGATCATTTACTTTGCTGAGTGCAGCGTTTAACAACAAACAAACAAACAAACGAACAATACAAACATTCAATCGGAACAGATAATCCGCACTTCCTCATAGCTCTTTGGTTATTCACTAAATCTTCCAGAAAGTTTTGAATGCTGTGATTTGATTTAGAATCAAATTTTGTCAATCCACTTGCTGTTTAGAAACAATTAAATTATATATCAATCATGGTTTTAAATTACACCCAACTTTTTCATTGGTATTTTTGTCTCGCTTGTGTAAAGGTGATGACGATTTCATGAATGCGGCTGAGATTCTGATTTCGTGGATGGAGAAGGGAGACTGCAATCGCCGCACCAACGCATCCTTCTACAGCATGATCCAGTGCATCAACTCCCACGTGCGTCGACTGCTGATGGAGAAGCAGCAGAACGAGGAGGAGGTGCAGCGTGTCAAGCAGCAGTCAATGTTCCGCTTCCAGGACATCATCAGACAATGTGAGTACTCTGTCTGCAGACTCTCTCCGCTCACAGACAATGTGAGTACTCTCTCCGCTCACAGACAAGTATTCCTTGTCCTCATTAACACACCTGCATTGGGGCCCCACCTGTGTCAGTGGTCACCCGGTTTGACCGTCATGCAGATGCCGGAGTCCAGGTCTCCACAATTCTCCACTGGCTACATTTTGTGACAGGTGCTCTATTAGGCACAGCAGTTTGTATTGTACTTTGTGTTCATTGGACCTCTGTATTTTGATCTCAGTGTTTGCAGGTGGGGGTGCAAAACATGGCCATGCTTTGTTCTATACAAGATTAAACAATTCATGTTTTAATTATAAAGCACAATGCATATCTCTTGGATTTCTCGGAAGAATTTTCCATGTAAGTTCAGCATCACAGCTCAAGTTTATAATTTTTGAGTGGATGCATCCAATGAAACAAGTAACAAGTTGTTGTGGCCTTGGTGTCCCTGGCTGGCTGGGGCTGTCACATCAGGCCTTGGTGTCCCTGGCTGCCTGGGGTGTCCCATCAGTCCTTGGTGTCCCTGGCTGCCTGGGGTGTCACATCAGTCCTTGGTGTCCCTGGCTGCCTGGGGTGTCCCATCAGTCGTATGTGTCCCTGGCTGGCTGGGGCTGTCACATCAGTCCTTGGTGTCCCTGGCTGCCTGGGGTGTCACATCAGTCGTATGTGTCCCTGGCTGGCTGGGGCTGTCACATCAGTCCTTGGTGTCCCTGGCTGGCTGGGGCTGTCACATCAGTCCTTGGTGTCCCTGGCTGCCTGGGGCTGTCACATCAGTCGTATGTGTCCCTGGCTGGCTAGGGCTGTCACATCTGTCGTATGTGTCCCTGGCTGGCTGGGGCTGTCACATCTGTCGTATGTGTCCCTGGCTGCCTGGGGCTGTCACATCAGTCCTTGGTGTCCCTGGCTGCCTGGGGCTGTCACATCTGTCGTATGTGTCCCTGGCTGCCTGGGGTGTCCCATCAGTCGTATGTGTCCCTGGCTGCCTGGGGTTGTCACATCAGTCCTTGGTGTCCCTGGCTGGCTGGGGCTGTCACATCAGTCCTTGGTGTCCTTGGCTGGCTGGGGCTGTCACATCAGTCCTTGGTGTCCCTGGCTGGCTGGGGCTGTCACATCAGTCCTTGGTGTCCCTGGCTGGCTGGGGCTGTCACATCAGTCCTTGGTGTCCCTGGCTGGCTGGGGCTGTCACATCAGTCCTTGGTGTCCCTGGCTGGCTGGGGCTGTCACATCAGTCCTTGGTGTCCCTGGCTGGCTGGGGCTGTCACATCAGTCCTTGGTGTCCCTGGCTGGCTGGGGCTGTCACATCTGTCGTATGTGTCCCTGGCTGCCTGGGGCTGTCACATCAGTCGTATGTGTCCCTGGCTGGCTGGGGCTGTCACATCAGTCCTTGGTGTCCCTGGCTGGCTGGGGCTGTCACATCAGTCCTTGGTGTCCCTGGCTGGCTGGGGCTGTCACATCTGTCGTATGTGTCCCTGGCTGGCTGGGGCTGTCACATCTGTCGTATGTGTCCCTGGCTGGCTGGGGCTGTCACATCTGTCGTATGTGTACAGTAGGTAAATGTGCATGAAACATATAGGCAAACATGGAGGGACTACAACATGAGGATAGCACACTAGCCACAATGATAATGGGAGATGTGACGTGAGAATGTTTCTTGCAGGCAGTGAGTATGTTCAGTCCTTGTGCTGTTATCCCACCGAAATTTTGAAAATCTTAGCTTTCACAACAATTATTTGATAATCATTTCTTCATTTCTAATGTTGAAAATTGTGTGTAATTGTTTTTACAAGTCTGTTATTCATGCTAATTTAATACTGTTTCATGTGGAGACATGAAGCCATAGTTTAACATGATTAATAAACTTTAAAAAAAATTACAAATAAATTTTAGTGTTAGATTTCTATTAAATGATTACTGTTAATGTTGGTGAGAAAAATATTGACAAAGGGAGATAATTATGTTTGTGACATTGAGACCTCCCTGTCAATGTTCCTTGTAAAATGGCTGCAGGTAGCATGACTCAGTCCAGACCTGTAGGGAGAGGTAGGTGGCAGATGGCAGGCTTCATTGTACACGTCTAGTACGAGTAATGGCTGTATTGTTAAACATACATGTGTACATTCATCCAACGCATATTGTAATTTGGCAGATGTAAATGTTACATAGGTTCTTCCGATGTTCCCTGAGAAACAGGTGCAGCAATTCATGACAAGAGTTGCAGCCCTTAGCTGGGTCAGGATCTGGCGGTTGATGGTTCAAATCCCTGATTTTCCCAGATTATGATCCTTGGCAGCCCAATACAGTGCTGACAGCCCAGTACAGTGCTGACAGCCCAATACAGTGCTGACAGCCAAATACAGTGCTGACAGCCCAATACAGTGCTGACAGCCCAATACAGTGCTGACAGCCCAATACAGTGCTGACAGCCCAATACAGTGCTGACAGCCCAATACAGTGCTGACAGCTTGCCTATAACGGGTCTGCAGCATGTGCTGAGTTGAGCTGACATGGTGAGAACTGAAATACTGTTGCACCCAGCATAGACCCACTCTCTCACTCACTCTGATGTTGTGTAACAGGTAAATGGTTACAGTACTAAGGCAGACAGCTGTTTGAAATATTCTGGTACCCTTGTGTTTCTTGTGTCTAATGAGTTTCTGAAATTTTTTTATAAAGAAAAATAATTGATAAAAATAATTGATAAAAATAATTGATACGTAAACATAAATTTACGTAGAAATGACAGGTAATAATTAACATAAGGCTAATACGTCATGTTATGGCTGGTTGTGCAGTTTGTAAATATTGTCTAAAACATTCTCTGAAAACCAGAAGAGATATGTGAGAAATACAAGGCACCAGATGTTCAACAGTGATGCAAGTAAGTCCAGTTCTGGCAAGTGGAGGATGGAAGTCATGGGTGTGGATGCAAGGAGGTCAGAGAAATGGCTGACTGTTAGATTAACTTGTCATTTTGAACCCCTGATCTTATGGATATGGTGATCAAGGCTTCTGTTGGTATTGTTCTGGAAGCATAGCCACTAGGTTTATCTTAGAAATAGAATCCCACAGTCAGGGGTGTGGAAAATGAATGCTCGACTTGTCCAACTAGTTTTGTGAGATCGCTTGAGAAAGGAGAAATCAACTCAGTGAGCTGCAGACAACCTTTAGATTTAGAAGACGTTTAGTCAGTTTTGATAAGATATTCATAACAATTTTGAAATATAGCTTTGAAAAAGTTTAAACATCACTATGGCTAGTTGCGCAACATTTTGTTAGAAGTCATGGCAGATCGCACCGGTTGCTCAAACATATAGATTTCGTCCATCTCATTAAAATCAGATCTAAGTTCTCACTATCGCTAAACAAAGATCTGAAGACATCCCATTACGGGTCACGTCAGAACGACCTTTCATCCAACCAATGAGAGCGTCACTTATCAGATCATGAAAGTGACAGTCGGAATGTGTTTTCTAATCATGCAACCACAAAATATTTAACACGGGGTATTCCGAACGACAGTTATGGGTTTTATGATTATATCCATACAATCTAGGCCATCTATATGCCATTCCAAAATGTTCTTCTTATCAATTTTTTTTTTTTTTTAAATATACGTCAAAATATTTTTAGAAGCGTAGTTGCCAGTTTGAAACTAGTGTCGTAAAACTCGAAAAAGCTGCCTTCTTATTGGCTTATGTCGATTTCTTGTCACTCATTGCATTGGTCGGTCAAAATTCGCGAAAGGTCGTTCTGACGTGACCCGTAATGGGATGTCCTCAGATCTTTATTTAGCGGTAGCGAAAACTAAGATATGATTTTAATGAGATTGTGATTTCGTTTGATGACATGCAATGAATAATTGTATTATTTGTATTGGGAAAAGCCATGGAGATACAAATACTGATCAACGTCAAATCAAAGATTGCAGGTTGTAATAATTGTTATCAAATTTGGAAATTTGGACAAGAAAATCCTGTTCACTTGTCAAGGGACAAGATGACAAGTTTGATATTTCCACACCCCTGCCAGTACTCAATGCATTGGATCTGTGAACATGCATCACCTACTCGTCTTCCTGCCAGACCGATGTGTTCAGGCAGGAATATTGCTAACTGTGGCATAAAACAGTATTCACTCATTTCCTGTGGAACACTAGGAGCAGGACGTCAAAGGTAAGTAGCCTAATATGAGACCTGTGAAGATCCGGGGTAGAATAGGTCTTCAGCAACAACACCTGCTGGCTGTAAGAGGTGACCATGCTTGTCGTAAGAGTCGACTAACGGGATCGGGTGGTCAGGCTTGCTGACTTGGTTGATGCATGTCATCGTATCCCAATTGCGTAGATCGATGTTCATGATGTCAATCACTGGATTGTCTGGTCCAGCCTCGATTATTTACAGACCGCTGTCATATAACTGGAATATTGCCGAGTGCGGCGTTAAACAACAAACAAACAAACACTAACATGAGTTGATGCCGGGTTAGAATGTTCCTGAGCTGCCTGAGCCAGTCGTATGAGGCGACTATGGATCGGGTGGTCAGACACGGTGACTTCGTCAATTGTGTACACCAACATTGCTGATAAAATCAGTCACTGAATTACCTCAGACTTGATTATTTACAGTCCACTGTCATATAGCTGCAATATTGCTGCGTGCGGCATTAAAGAACAAACGAAACAAGCAGTGCATGAAAAAAACAGAAGTACTCCTAGATAGCGTCACTATTATTCTACAATCCGTTTACCTGAAGCTTAGCTTAGAACAATGCTAACAGCACAGCCTTGTCCATCACCCTACAAATGGTACATCAGTATAATGCTCCGAGCCATGTCCACGGCCATGACTTCCACCATCCTCTGCCTGCGTGTGCTGCCGTGGTGAGTAATCGAGTAAGCTGGGACGTTGGTATGTATCTAACCCCGGACACCCTGTTTCTTCAAGTTGATCAGATAGTGCGGGTATTTAGCACTGCCACCAAACAGCGAGCATGGGATCACTTCACCAAGGCTCAACGCAAGAACATTGACGTCTGGTGCAAGCAAGCAGAGGTTAGTAACACAGACAGCAGCAAGGGTTGTGTCAAAACGTCCTAGAAGCTGCAGATTTGGGGTAATTTACCTGACCATTTCCTGAAGCAAGTTTGGTTATTGGTTTTTGAAGTGTGTATCTATAAGAATTGACTTCGAAAAGTTTTTGCGATTAGGGTGTTACAAACTTAAAAACCTGTGCAACTTTGTGTAATTTATACAGTATGAACCATTCCTCCATAGTGGCATCACTGGATTAAACATCTCAGTGAAGGTCAGATTAGCACTTTCCTATAGCCCATGGTCATTGATGGGGCTTTTGACAAATTTGATCATGCAATTTGATATTGATAGGAACTAGTTATTTAAATTGTTGTTCTTACATATAGGAAACTGACCCGTGTGCGCTCTCATCTACCATTGTAAACTAGAGTTACCATGGTTACACTTACTGCTGTAGCATACAAAGATAATAGCGGACATATTATGTCTTATACTAGAGGCTAAATGTTCTATCGCAGGATTTGAAATTATTACCAGTAGAAGTCAGAAGAAAAAGTGACATTTCCATATGGACTACCACTTTTACCATTAGGGTAGCAGATCATTATTGCTGAGTAGTGAAAAAAATAAAATTTCTAGCATGTGAAAAAGGTCAGTTTTGCAGCTTCTCGGGTGGTTTGATATAGATCCTTACTGATGTTGCTCCTGATGTGACTCTATGCCATGAATAGCTAAACAGTGCTGGGGTGGTATTGTACAGCCCCCACTCTCTCACTCACTCCAGATGTGATGGTCAGATAGGCCTCGCAGCAGTCCAACTGTTGACAGGCTTCTTGAAAAAAAATAAATGTTTACTCTAGATTTATGGAAACGGTGAGACTTTAGTTCAAGATGTGGTAAGCACCATGTGAAGCTGAGAAAGACAAAGCATGGAGACACTCCCTTTCACAGCTAGCCAGGCCTGCTTCTCCAGGCTTGGCCACGGTGGAAAGTTGCACCTGGATGGTCAAAACGGCCATGAAAAGTCCCATGGCCACAGCCCAAAAAGTCAAAATGGCCACACACAAAAATAAAGATGACAAACTCAATTATTGTATCACAATAAAAACAGTGAGAGGTTTCCTTATTAGGATGAAAGTTTGTCCATGTTTTCACAACAGAATGGTACATTGGTCTGTACAGAGTTTAAATAAGTTGTTGAGAGGGACTCCACTTGAAGAGGTTACATTTTATAACCAGCCTCCAAGGTACTCTGTACACAGCCTAGCAAACACTGATATCAGTTTGGGCCTATGTTGGTTGAATGTTGCCATGCCGATATTGGACCAACATAGAGCTAACATGGTATATTAACTTCTATAATATTATATTTATGTTTCATTTGATAATACTTTTATAATTACAAACCACCAACCATTTTCAAGACTTATTTTGTTATTGTCAAACTTATCAGTTACAAATTTAGTGATTCAATTTCATCTCGAACATAATCGCAAACTGACTTCAGGTAGGCTTGTCATATCTGTCTTACTGTTGGAGATAACCTTCATCTCTGTTCTTTATTAAGTGGGGGGCACGGGTGGCCCAGTCGTCTAAGGCGCCGCGATTCGCTGTGCAGAATTGCGTCCATTTCGGCACGCCAGAAACCTATGATTGTGGGTTCGAATCCCGGTTCACCCCGATTATGTTTCTAGGTTTGTCAGCACCATACCCGTGCTCGTGGGTTTCACCGAAGTGGTAAACGTCTGAGACCTGCATCACTTCGGGCTTTCCTCCCACATTAAGCTGACACGCCGTGATATAACTGGAATACTGTTAAAAGCGGCGTTAAACCCAACTCACTCACTCACTCACTCTTTATTAAGTGGATTAAAATATGATTGAAAACACACATTTCATGGATTTAATCATGCCTTTGTAGATACATAGTATCACCCTAATGTGCAATTATGTCGACATTATTATCATTATGGCCATTCTGACTTTTTGTTGCGGCTGTTTGGGCTTTCCTTTGTGGCTGTCTTGACTCAGAGCTACAGATAAGCTGCATATTTGCATAAAATACCCTCCAAAAACTTTTCAGAACCTAATGACTTTCAATTAACTTGCATACAAAAACGCATGCATTAAATGAAAAACCCAAATGTATAAAAAGAGCATGTGTAAAAACCCAACGAAGCTTTTTCAGCATGAGTACAACAGAGCTCATTTCAGAAACACAATTACGAGCTAATTGACTTTCCGAGTCAAGCCTACTGGTATATCAGAACCGTTATATACCTCTTAAACATTATTTCATTTGTTTTCAAATTTCAAAATGTTTATTCATTTTAGGAAAAAACCCATTAGAGTGATGAATGGATGAGTGAAAAAATATTGGTTCCCCAATAAAAAATGTAATAACCCAATAAAAATAGAAACCTTCAGGTAAAAACGCAATTGCTCAAAAAGTTATCTGGAGCTCTGTGACTTTTGTGTTTTGAGGCTGTTCTGACATGAGGCCATTTTCACTACAACAAGTCGGTTGTACCTGGTCGTTAGGGACACAGGTAAGCACATGTGTTTCTCCGTGGACGATGAGAAATCAGCTGATTGCTGTTTCTGAGTATTACAAATGAGATGAAATATGGGATTAGCTGAAAATACAAGCAGTGAATTAACATATGAATAATGGAGAGTAGGGACTGTTTTCCCATCAGTGTGAACTTCTGTATGTCTAGTGTTCAGCTTTACCACACTGATTGTGTGCGTGTCATGTGTAGTAGTATCTGGGAGGTGGTAGACAGATTTGTGTCCCTTGGTTGAGTTAGGATCCGCCGATCACAGGTCCTGTGCGTGTCGGCACCATACCCTCTCGCGGGATATTTTGTTTCTCCCACATCAGGCTGACATGCAGTGATATGACTTAAATACTGTTGAAAGCAGCCATCATGGCATTTATCACAACCTGCTCAATAACTCACTATGTTTTTAAAGCCGTGATATAACTGGAATACTGTTAAAAAGTGTGTTAAACCGAACTCACTCACTATTTACCATGTGAAGATAGTGTGTTAGAATTGGTCTTCGGCAATCCATGCTTGTCATAAGAGGCGACTAACGGGATCGGTGGTCAGGCTTGCTCACTTGGTCTCTTAATTGTGTAGTTTGATGCTCATGATGTCGGTCACTGGATTGTATGGTCTAGACACAATTATTTACTTACTCCTCTCATACAGCTAGAATATTGCTGGGAGTGGTTGGGGTTAAAGGTCAAACAAACAAACAAACAAACAAACAAACAAACCAACACTATGCTCTTTGCCTGTTAGTGTCCTCCATTTATCAAGCATTGTACAGAAAATTCTAGCCTCATCGTTTTGTTTACAAAATTTCCAACACAAGTGTAAACTTTCATGATCCTCCCAAAAGGCATTAAAATCACCCTTTAATTCATGAATCGCTCATTCAAGAATAGTTCACTTCAAACATGTATTATGACACGATACTTAGATTACCACCCCCTCCATGTTCTGGAACAATATATTTGAATCAGATGCACCTAAAACCTGAACCTGCCTACCTCCTGGAACTAGAGCCTTGTGTTGGGGAGCGTTCTCTGAGGGATCAACCCTTACAAGCTGCCCCGTGTGCAGCACAACGAGTGCTGGGAGTTGAAAGTCTGCGCTTCCACACTGGACCAGTGCAATTTGCCTAATGCTGACAGTGTCCACACACGTTGGGAACATTGTCATCGCACCATTCTGTTCTCATCATTAGGATCGTGGTCTTGTTAACCCATAGACTGCTAAAGTGTCATTTGTAGAATAGAAACAATATGGTAATAGTTGTGTTACTTTTAATTTTCCATGAAAGTTGGATTAAATTTTTAAAAAATTTCTTTCATGCTCAGACCCATACTTGCCGTAAAAGGTGACTATGCTTGTCGTAAAAGGCGACTAACGGGATCGGGTGGTCAGGCTCGCTGACTTGGTTGATACAGGTCATCGTATCCCAATTTCGTGGATCGATGCTCATGATGTCAATCACTGGATTGTCTGGTCCAGACTCGATTATTTTACAGACCGCCGTCATATAGCTGGAATATTGCTGAGTGCGGCGTTAAACAAAAAAACAAACCAAACCAAACCTTCATGCTCAGTAACTTGAACCGATGCTTCCAAATTCTACCTTAAAAAAAGAAAGAAAATGTCAATGACCTGTTCAAGTCAACAATCGTTCATCCGTACAGTGTAGGAAAACATTGATGCATCAGTGATAACTCGGAGATATTCATGAGGTATTTTTCAAGTTAAAAAGTATTTTGTTGCGAGCTCCTCACATGTCAATAATTAATTTTGATAATCAATAATCAGTAGTTGATTTGTTGTTGATCACAGTGAAATAATTAGTAATTTAACAAGTGTCACAACTAAGGGTAATTCAGGATATTGAGCATTCAGTAACTAATAAGGTTACAGTTATCAGAGGAGATGACAAAGTGTCGGACTTCTATTCTTGTGGAAGCCTTGGTGGCTGAGTGGGTTAGGTCACTGACTTTGTATGCTGGCAATTAGGTGCCTCATTCTGAAAGGAGGGGTTCAAATCGCAAATGGGACTCCGTCCCAAAACGTTCTAGAATTTGTACTTTACTAAGAAAGTGTAATCCCAAATATAATGTTATATTAGATTATGCCTGTTGTTTGTAAGACTTCTCAACCTAGAAACATACTGGATCATGAAAGAGAATTTTCAATATGTTCCAAACACTGACTAACAACTGGAACTGTTTGTATTCATGTGTCACTTGTGGTTTAAATCTCAAATATCAATGCTCTCTGTGGCAGGACGATTGTCATTGTAGCTATCAATAATTAATGTGTGATCAATACCAGCCGTGTATGATGGCATTACCAGTGGCTTCTGTTGCTGAATAGATGGCTGTGTTTGTAAAGTAACAAATTGTGGAATATTGCTGGGCCTGGTGTGGAATGACACCCACTACCGGTATAAGGTTAACCAGGTTTTTTCCAGCAAGGTAACATAATGTATAGTAGCCACCTCCCACCTACTACCCCCTCCCTCCCTCCCCCCCCACCTCCGCCGCCCTACACACCTTATAATAAATGAATGAATGAATCGATCGATCGATCAATCAATCAATCAATCAATCAATCAATCAATCAATCAATCAATCAATCAATCAATCAATCAACCAATCAATCAATCAATCAATCAATCAATCAATCAATCTAGATTTATATCTTAACTTAATAAAATACAATTGTAACTGATACAAATGGATATGCTGATAATTTGTTTTAGTAAATTTTGAAAGTTCAACTTGAAGTAATCAATTTGTGGTCTGACTTAAGTACAATATATACTACTCATCACTGGCTAGAGGGCCACGGTGGCCTAGTCGTCATAGGTGCAGCAGTTTGCTGTGCAGAGTTGCGTCCTTGAGCATAGGAAATCTATGATCGTGGGTTCGAATCCCAGTTCGCTCCGATTATGTTTCTAGGTTTGTCAGCACCATACCCGTGTTTCACCAAAGTGGTAAACGTCACTTCAGGCTTTCCTCCCACATATGGGCGATCGGTAGCCTAGTGGTTAAAGCGTTCGCTCGTCACGCCGAAGACCCGGGTTCGATTCCCGACATGGGTACAATGTGTGAAGCCCATTTCTGGTGTCCCCCGCCGTGATATTGCTGGAATATTGCTAAAAGCGGCGTCAAACCATACTCACTCACTCACTCCTCCCACATACAGCTGACACACCGTGATATAACTGGAATACTGTTAAAAGCCACACAAAACCAAATCCCCTCCTCACTCAACACTTGCTGAGTTCCACCTTTGACTTAAGATGACTGATTTGGGCCTTACCAAATGTTAAGTAGTATCTTTTTTTCTTGATAAATTTAAGCGGTAAGAATGTTCACAAAGATTTGTGTAATGTAGAAACTGTTTTGGTTTAACTGACACTCATTGTGTAAGCTTTACACGAGCGATGAGCAGTAACTGTGAAGGCCACGGCTAACTGATGACAGGTAATCTCATCAAGCCATTCAATAACACATCAATAATTTAACCTGCACATTCATATGTAAGCTGGCATCAGTGTCCCCAGCAGGCTCATCAAATGTGCCTTTGCTTGTCATTGAAACTTTTTCAGGCTGATCGTATATTTTATCCCGGAAAGTCTAAATTGACCCAGCCAGGCTGCTATATTCTGATCTATGCTTTATTTATGGGATGGTATTGTGGCAATTCTCGGAGGACGCTGCTAACTTGCTATTTCTCATTAAGTGCTCATCATTGTGTCATGTGACACAGTGAGTCGGACAGTCGAGCAGGTCGTGGCGCCGTCGCCGCAGGAAGGACTCGGTATGTATGTTAAGTCACCTCTAGATCGGACGCCTGAATATGGAGGGGTTTGGTTTGTATCCCTAAACATGTCTGTGACTTGTGGAAAATGTGTGTATCAACCTCTTTTCAGCTTTGCTCTTGTGTGTTTATACTTTGTGAAGAAGAACTTAGTTTTTTGTGAACAGATATAGCCTTCTTGAGTCCTTTACTTCAGATATTTATACTTACTACATTTATGTGCCAAACTTGTTATTGTATTCATATACTTTGGACTGCAACCGATGTGTAAGTCTTGGAAAGGAAGTGGATAAGGAAGTTAACAGATGAAGTGGGGTATTTATGGACCGTAAATGAGGTCCAGATTACTGAGAGTCCTGTGTAGAAAGATGCGTTGATTCTGTTTCTTTGCATCTTTGTTTGGCTGGTTTGATCCTGTTAACCGAACCAGATTATGTTAGTTCAGTAGAGGAAGCTGTCTCAGGACTTCTACCCGTCAATATAGAACATATTAGTCAGTTTATGTTAGTTCAAACAGTTTTGCTATTGGTACCAACAGCAAGTAATGTCGATAACGAAGTATTGGATAGATTGCGTTTGACACTTTAATGAATAGATCACTATAGTCAGCGCATGGAGGGATGTCCTAGTGTGAGACAGTTCTATCTCAGGTGCTGTTATAGATGCAGGTTGTGTAGGGACGTCCTAGTGTGAGACAGTTCTATCTCAGGTGCTGTTATAGATGCAGGTTGTGTAGGGACGTCCTAGTGTGAGACAGTTCTATCTCAGGTGCTGTTATAGATGCAGGTTGTGTAGGGACGTCCTAGTGTGAGACAGTTCTATCTCAGGTGCTGTTATAGATGCAGGTTGCGTAGGGACGTCCTAGTGTGAGACAGTTCTATCTCAGGTGCTGTTATAGATGCAGGTTCTGTAGGGACGTCCTAGTGTGAGACAGTTCTATCTCAGGTGCTGTTATAGATGCAGGTTGTGTAGGGACGTCCTAGTGTGAGACAGTTCTATCTCAGGTGCTGTTATAGATGCAGGTTGTGTAGGGACGTCCTAGTGTGAGACAGTTCTATCTCAGGTGCTGTTATAGATGCAGGTTGTGTAGGGACGTCCTAGTGTGAGACAGTTCTACCCCAGGTGCTGTTATAGATGCAGGTTGTGTAGGGACGTCCTAGTGTGAGACAGTTCTATCTCAGGTGCTGTTATAGATGCAGGTTGTGTAGGGACGTCCTAGTGTGAGACAGTTCTACCCCAGGTGCTGTTATAGATGCAGGTTGTGTAGGGACGTCCTAGTGAGAGACAGTTCTACCCCAGGTGCTGTTATAGATGCAGGTTGTGTAGGGACGTCCTAGTGTGAGACAGTTCTATCTCAGGTGCTGTTATAGATGCAGGTTGTGTAGGGACGTCCTAGTGTGAGACAGTTCTATCTCAGGTGCTGTTATAGATGCAGGTTGTGTAGGGACGTCCTAGTGTGAGACAGTTCTACCCCTAGTGCTGTTATAGATGCAGGTTGTGTAGGGGCGTCCTAGTGTGAGACAGTTCTACCCCAGGTGCTGTTATAGATGCAGGTTCTGTAGGGACGTCCTAGTGTGAGACAGTTCTATCTCAGGTGCTGTTATAGATGCAGGTTCTGTAGGGACGTCCTAGTGTGAGACAGTTCTATCTCAGGTGCTGTTACAGATGCAGGTTGTGTAGGGACGTCCTAGTGTGAGACAGTTCTACCCCTAGTGCTGTTATAGAGGCAGGTTGTGTAGGGACGTCCTAGTGTGAGACAGTTCTACCCCAGGTGCTGTTATAGATGCAGGTTGTGTAGGGACGTCCTAGTGTGAGACAGTTCTACCCCAGGTGCTGTTATAGATGCAGGTTCTGTAGGGACGTCCTAGTGTGAGACAGTTCTACCCCAGGTGCTGTTATAGATACAGGTTGTTTAGGGACGTCCTAGTGTGAGACAGTTCTACCCCAGGTGCTGTTATAGATGCAGGTTGTGTAGGGACGTCCTAGTGTGAGACAGTTCTACCCCAGGTGCTGTTATAGATGCAGGTTGTGTAGGGGTGTCCTAGTGTGAGACAGTTCTACCCCAGGTGCTGTTATAGATGCAGGTTCTGTAGGGACGTCCTAGTGTGAGACAATTCTACCCCAGGTGCTGTTATAGATGCAGGTTGTGTAGGGACGTCCTAGTGTGAGACAGTTCTACCCCAGGTGCTGTTATAGATGCAGGTTGTGTAGGGACGTCCTAGTGTGAGACAGTTCTACCCCAGGTGCTGTTACAGATACAGGTTGTGTAGGGGTGTCCTAGTGTGAGACAGGTCTTCATCCTATGCTGTTGTGTTCCAGGAGATCCGATCTGTCCAACAGGAAGAGTTTCTCAGTGACAGACAGGAGGACGAGATGGAGATGTCAGACGAGGATGGTGATGGACCGTCCAAGAAGAGGAAGACCGACACATCCCTGCAGGTTGTGGGTGCAGGTAGGCTCTAATGTACACTGAGTTGACATTGAGGGTTTCATAGACAAGATCAGTCTTCAGCCACTAATTAAGGCCATCCTTGTGAGAGGAATGTCCGGGGTTCAATTCCCAGCTGCCTCATACCAAAAGGCTTTAAAAGGTGGTACTTGTTGTTACCCTGTCTGGCGCTCGGCATTAAGGGGCTAAAACAAGGACTGGTTGGCTCGGAGTCAGTATACTGTGTCTGAGTAGGGTATTCATGTTAAACTGCGGCATGGTATCTCAGTGTGCTAGCACTAAAAATTGATATCAGTCCAGACTAGTACAAGCAGCCACACACACACACTATGTATATATATAAAGTGCAATAATTTTGGACACAACGTTAAACCCCATTTCCCCTCCCCTCACCTCACCTCACCTCACCCCACCCCACCTCACCCCTTGATATCTACACTGTCATGCCTTTAAGATCCTCTCAGTTGATGGTCATGATCACCTGTGCAGTGTTAGGTCGCGAAGTCGTGGCAAGATCCAAGATCTTTGGTTCCAGTCTCCCACTTGCTCCGATTATGAACCTTGGTGTGTCAGCAGGCTCATTTGTTTCATCAAAGTGCTATGCATCTATAACCAGCATCGCTTTGGGCTGTCACATTAAGCTGGCATCTGGTGTTATTGCTGAAATACTGTTCTAAGCAGCCTTTGGCCCAACCGACCCACTCAGTTCATAGTCCTCCTTTTGGGGCTACAGCGTCACAAACTGGCACCAGTCCCATAGTCCTTGCCAAGCTGCCAAATAGTTGAGTGAGTGAGTGAGTATGGTTTTACTCAGCTTTTAGCAATATTCCAGCAGTATCACGGCGGGGGACACCAGAAATGGGCTTCACACATTGTACCCATGTCGGGAATCGAACCCGGGTCTTCGGCGTGATGAGCGTACACTTTAACCACTAGGCTACCCGACCGCCCCCCAATAGTTAAGGTATCATAAGGACTGGTAGAGATTTTTACCTTTTCATTGGTTTTGCAAAATGTTACCAGATGAGGCTCTGGAGGGTGTTGGTTGATATCTGTACAATGTATGTGTATGGACTAGATGAGGCTCTGGAGGGTGTTGGTTGATATCTGTACAATATGTACAATGTATGTGTGTGTACTAGATGAGGCTCTGGAGGGTGTTGGTTGATATCTGTACAATGTATGTGTGTGTACTAGATGAGGCTCTGGAGGGTGTTGGTTGATATCTGTACAATGTATGTGTATGGACTAGATGAGGCTCTTGAGGGTGTTGGTTGATATCTGTACAATGTATGTGTATGGACTAGATGAGGCTTTTGAGGGTGTTGGTTGATATCTGTACAATGTATGTGTATGGACTAGATGAGGCTCTGGAGGGTGTTGGTTGATATCTGTACAATATGTACAATGTATGTGTAAGGACTAGATGAGGCTCTGGAGGGTGTTGGTTGATATCTGTATGTGTACAGATCCGATGAGGCTCCTGAGGGTGATGGTTGATATCTGTACAATGTATGTGTAAGGACTAGATGAGGCTCTGGAGGGTGTGGGTTGATATCTGCACAATGTATGTGTATGGACTAGATGAGGCTCCTAAGGGTGCTGTTTGTTATCTGTATGTGTATGGACCAGATGAGGCTCTGGAGGGTGTTGATTGATATCTGTACAATGTATGTGTAAAGATCCGATGAGGCTCCTGAGGGTGATGGTTGATATCTGTACAATGTATGTGTATGGACTAGATGAGGCTCTGGAGGGTGTTGGTTGATATCTGTATGTGTAAAGATCCGATGAGCCTCTTGATATCTGTATGTGTAAGGACTAGATGAGGCTCTGGAGGGTGTTGGTTGATATCTGTATGTGTGAGGACTAGATGAGGCTCCTGAGGGTGTTCGTTGATATCTGTATGTGTAAGGACAAGATGAGGCCTCTGGAGGGTGCTGGTTGATATCTGTATGTGTAAAGATCCGATGAGCCTCTTGATATCTGTATGTGTAAGGACTAGATGAGGCTCTTGAGGGTGCTGTTTGATATCTGTATGTGTAAGGACTAGATGAGGCTCTGGAGGGTGTTGGTTGATATCTGTATGTGTAATGACTAGATGAGGCTCTGGAGGGTGTTGGTTGATATCTGTATGTGTAACGACTAGATGAGGCTCTGGAGGGTGTTGGTTGATATCTGTATGTGTGAGGACTAGATGAGGCTCTGGAGGGTGTTCGTTGATGTCTGTATGTGTAACGACTAGATGAGGCTCTGGAGGGTGTTGGTTGATATCTGTATGTGTGAGGACTAGATGAGGCTCCTGAGGGTGTTCGTTGATATCTGTATGTGTAAGGACTAGATGAGGCTCCTGAGGGTGTTGGTTGATATCTGTATGTGTAAAGATCCGATGAGGCTCTGGAGGGTGCTGGTTGATATCTGTATGTGTAAAGATCCCATGAGGCTGTGGAGGGTGCTGTTTGATATCTGTATGTGTAAAGATCCGATGAGGCTCCTGAGTGTGCTGGTTGATATCTGTATGTATAGAGATCCTATGAGGCTCCTGAGTGAGCTGGTTGATATCTGTATGTGTAAAGATCCGATGAGGCTCCTGAGTGTGCTGGTTGATTTCTGTATGTATAGAGATCCGATGAGGCTCCTGAGTGAGCTGGTTGATATCTGTATGTGTAGAGATCCGATGAGGCTCTGGAGGGTTCTGGTTGATATCTGTATGTGTAAAGATCCGATGAGGCTCTGGAGGGTGCTGGTTGATATCTGTATGTGTAAAGATCCGATGAGACCCTCGGGTCCAGGATGTTCAAGTTGTCAGTTGAAACACAGATGTGGTTTTATATGATTGATTTTCATCACTGGTGTGTGACCATGGTGAAGTTTATCTCTCTAGTGATTTACATAATGCATTAAAAATGGATGCTGCTTCTGCCCACCAAACACATCAATACAATCAGCCAGGCGGGACTAATGACTATTAATGGCAAGCACTGAAAATGATCAGCCCCATCTGAACCTGAAGCAAACACTGAACATGGAATTATTCTGTAACAACCTGAAAAGGTGTTCCGGTTTCATTGGTTCATGGGTAGTCCTGTAGTTGGCAATGTAGTTGTCCTGAAAACTATTGTTCCACTGCTCTTGGTTTGGCTGAACCAATCTTGTCGTTTGGACATGTTTCTCATGTTGGCCCATCATCATCCACTTGTGTCTGTTGATTGTACCAGCAACAGTCTCTAGAATTGTGAACAGTCACCTTATTGAAGTTTCTATGTGGCCCTAATATTATTATTCCTAAAAGGGCGGAGGGTGTATAGTTGTACCAAGGACTTCTGTCTGTCAGCCTTCCAAGGGGGTGGTCGGGTAGCCTAGTGGTTAAAGCGTTCGCTCGTCACGCCGAAGACCAGGGTTCGATTCCCGACATGGGTACAATGTGTGAAGCCCATTTCTGGTGTGCCCCCCCGGATATTGCTGAAATATTGCTAAAAACGGCGTAAAACCATACTCACTCACTCACTCCAAGGATTTTTGGGTGTGCGACCTGTAACTTGAAAACTACTGCGTAGATTCTTTTCAGACTTGGTGAACACTTTTCTATCAATAGGAGAGGTGCAGTGCAAAGTTTGATTTCAATATTTTGATTTTCACAAAGAATATCGCAATTTCTTTTTTGTAATTTGAATTTTTTTACTTAAACATTTGTACAACCTATAACTTAAAACTGCTCCATGGGTTCTTTTCAAATTATGATACATGGGTACAATGTGTGAAGCCCATTTCTGGTGTCCCCTGCCGTGATATTGCTGGAATATTGCTAAAAGCGGCGTGAAACCATACACTCTCATTCTTCTCTCAGGTGTCGCCAATCTTATTGCTGGAACTTTACTGAAAGCGATGTAAAACCAAACATACTCACTCAAGACTTGCTCTACTGATCCCCCATCCATACTTGTAGCCCCACCCTAACAAACATGCATTACTGCACTGAAGGTTTTGTGTACAAGCATTTCATCCATAAGAGCTTCGCCCTCCAGGGATTCTGGACCAGACAATCCAGTGATTGATATCATTAGCATCAATCAACGCAATTGGGATCGATGACATGCTTCAACTAAGTAAGTGAGCCTGACTACCCAATCCCGTTAGTCGCCTCTTACGACAAGCATAGTCGCCTCTTACGGCAAGCATAGTCGCCTTTTTAAGGCAAGCATGGGTTGCTGGAGACCTATTCTATCCCGGATCTTCACGGGTCGCTTAGAATAGGTCTCAAATACCAATGCTGGTCTTAAGTGATGAAGTGGTCAGTAACAGTAGCTGTTGCATGTAATTGAGTCCCTTGTCATAGATCGTTGCTCATTGTATCAATCACTGGTTTGTCTGGTCCTGACTTGAGTATCTACAGCGCTGTACACATCACTAATTGTAGGAGTACATGTCAGGAGGTATGTGTTGTGAGAATGACCAAGCGTAGGTTGTATTCCAGGAGACAGCAGCAACATTGTGAACACTCTGAAGGATGAGAACGACACGCTGAAGTGTCAGATGGAGGCCTACAAGAACGAGGTGGACCTCATCAAGCAGGAGTCCCTCAACTCACTCGACGAGAAGGACAAACAGATCCGAGCTCTGCAGAACGCTCTGCAGGGGATGCAACAGGTCAGCATTTCATTGCAGCGTTTCAGAATTGTAGTCATATCTGGTCCCCACATGATATGGTTGGAATATTGCTCAAAGTGGCATAAAATCACACTCACTCACGCCTACACAATCATGACAGTTGGGTAGTGGAGTAGCCATCGTGGCAGGAGGGTAGCAATCAGGGCAGTGGCGAAGTGGAGTTGCCATCAGGGCTGTGGGGTAGTCATCAAGGCAGTGTGGTAGCCATCGGGGCAGTGGGGTAGCCATCAGGGCAGTGGAGTAGCCATCAGGGCAGTGGGATAGCCATCAAGGCAATGGGGTAGCCATCAGGGCAGTGGGATAGCCATCAAGGCAGTGGGGTAGCCATCAAGGCAGTGGGGTAGCCATCATGGCAGTGGAGTAGCCATCTTGGCAGTAGGGTTGTCATCAGGGCAGTGGAGTAGCCATCTTGGCAGTAGGGTTGTCATCAGGGCAGTGGAGTAGCCATCAGGGCAGCAGGGTAACCATCAGGGCAGTGGAGTAGCCATATGGACAGTGGAGTAGCCATCTGGGCAGTAGGGTTGTCATCAGGGCAGTGGAGTAGCCATCAGGGCAGCAGGGTAACCATCAGGGCAGTGGAGTAGCCATATGGACAGTGGAGTAGCCATCTGGGCAGTGGGGTAGCCATTCAAGCCTTCTCCATCAGTGGTGTTGGGTAGTTGAGTGGTTAAAGCTTTTGCCCATCACGCCAAAGGCCCAGGTTCGATTCAGCACATTTCTACTTGTGTGAAGCCCATTCATTTTAGGTGCCCCTCACTCACTCACTCACTCACTCATTTGATCACCCTCACTCACTCACTCACCCACTTGATCATCCTCACTCACTCACTCACTCGCCCTCACTCACTCACTCGCCCTCACTCAGTCACTCACTCTCTCACTCACTGTCTCCTCTCCTCCAGCAACTGATCAGCTCCCAGCAACAAATGAAGAAGTCGGAGCAGCTGTACAAGGAGAAGGAGAGGCAGCTGGAGGTGGAGCGAGCCCGCAACAAGTCTGCCCCCGTCGCGGACAAGACGGGGGACAAGTCGGGGGACAAGTCGGAGGACACGTCAGGGGACCAGTCAGAGGACAAGGAGGGCACAGAGAAGGCAGCAGAGGACAAGGAGTCACAGGTAATGCCTGGCAGCTTGTAGACAGGGAAGGAGAGTACTCGTAGCCGTTGTTATGTGAATAAGTACTGCCTGTCAATTAAACTTCTAACATTCCTGTAGGGATTGTGGGTTCCTCCCCAGCAATGTATGCTGGTCGTAAGAGGCGACCAAATTGATCGGTGTCTTGGTTCCTAGCATGTCCCCCATTCGTGTGGATTGTTGTTCACATCAGTCACTGGATTGTCAGGTCAAGACTCAATAATTTAACAGGCCGTCATCATATAGCTGGAATATTGCTGAGTACGGCATTCAGCAACAACATGCACAAATATTTTAAAGTACAACTTCCTTGGAGAGTCACATGGATATCTGTAGAGAAAATGCTGAATAAGATATGATGCTATTTCCTGAGTAGTTCCTTCACTGCAACAGTATGTCAGCTGGAACTCTGCCCTCAGTTTCACTCCTAAATATGATGGACCCGTGAAGATCTGGGGTAGAATAGGTCTTCGGCAACCCATGCTTGCCATAAAAGGCGACTATGCTTGTCGTAAAAGGCGACCAACGGGATCGGGTGGTCAGACTTGCTGACTTGGTTGATGCATGTCATCGGTCCCAATTGCGTGGATCGATGCTCATGATATTAATCACTGGATTGTCTGGTCCAGACTCGATTATTTACAGACCGCCGTCATATAGCTGGAATATTGCTGAGTGCGGCGTAAAACATCAAACCAACCAAACCAACCTAAATATGACGAATCTCTTTTCCAGCCTGCTGAGGAGAACAGCAAGGACAAAGCTCCCACCTTTGATGTGATCGAGATCCCCGAGATCCCATCTATTCCAGGCCTCAGCAGCAGCATCGAGTCCACCGTCAGCAGCTCCGCCATCAACCTCTCCGGCAAGGAGGCTAAGATACTAGGTATAGTACTTGCTACTATCCCATTGGGAGGCCAGTTAGAACTGATCCCCAGCAACCTATGCTGGTCGTATGAGGTGTCCAAGCTTGGTGAATTTGTTGATGGCCTTTCCTCATACCCCGATGGCAGGGATCGTTGCTTGCTTACAATATCAATCACTGTTTTGTCTGGTCCAGAGGCAACTAACGGGATCAGGTGGTCAGGCTCGCTGACTTGGTTCATGCATGTCATTGTAGATCGATACTCATGATGTCAGTCACTCCATTATTTACAGTTCAATGTCATATAGCTGGAATATTGCTGAGTGAGGCGTTAAACAACAAACAAACAAAGCATTATTTGTACTCTCAGGTCATTTTGCCCAACTTAATTGCAAAATTCTCATTCTCCAATCTCGTATAAATCAGATCTCAGTGCTCGCTACTGCTACTCAAAGATCTGGGCACATCCCAAAACAGGTCATATCAGAAGAACCTTTTGCTAACTTTGACTGACCATGACCTGAAATGACTGACAGGAAGTCGACATTAGCGTCAGAAAGCAGCTTTCTCAAGGTTTATCATGTTTATGGTACTAGTTTAAAACTAACAAAATCCATTCCAGACTGGGTTTGAAAAATATTTGACAAAGTTTCTCAATTTCAATATTTGTAAACTGAACAAAAGAAAATTCTGGAATGTCTAATAGAGATTGTATTGCAGTACTGCCCACGGGTTGTGGAAAATGTCTTCCATGTCAAATGTTAATCCCATTGAAGTGAGACAGAGGCGATGATGATGACAGCATTAGAAAACACATTCAGACGTTCACAAAGCGAAGTTCTAATCGGTTGGGGTAGCGAGTACCAAGATCAAATTTTAATAAGATTGCTAAAGAAAGCCTGGGTTCAGCTGCAAATCCCTTTGTGTGAAGACCATTTCTTGTGTCCCCCTCTGTGATATTGTAGGAATAATTCTCATTCAGTCTTGTGTGGTTATGTGTGTTCTACAAGAGTGACCTCCCTTGTTTGCAGGTCTCATCACCTGCTTCCTCCATGTCCATCCGTTCGGGGCATCCGTGGACTACTTGTGGTCCTACCTCAACCAGATGATCTCGTGCCGCCCCCGGGAGATCGAGGACCTGGTGGAACGCCTGCCCATGCTGTTCAAACAAGAGCTGCAGGGGGTGGGGGCTCGGCTGGAGCGGAGGTGGGTTTTCACTGGCTACTCCAGCAGCCCAAACACAGACGCCAGCAGTTCCTTCTGGACGGGTCGCAACAAGTAATTGTGTGGAAACATTTCTTCTTTGTCTCATCAGTCGAGGGACAGAATTTAACGCCAACCAAAGAACCTGACAGTTTGTCAGCTGTTTAATGTACCTGTAAATTTTCTAGATAGGTCGGAGCATTATTGTGGCCTGAGGTTCCTCGGGAGTTGTCTCCCTTGTCAGTGTCAGGATTCGCTGGTATGGGTTCAATTACTAGATTTACCGTGCTTATGGTCCATAGTCAGGCTGCAACACAGATGCCGCCTGGATATCTGACCACCCCTAATCAAGAGTTGTCTCCCTTGTCAGTGTCAGGATTCGCTGGTATGGGTTCAATTACTAGATTTACCGTGCTTATGGTCCATGGTCAGGCTACAACACAGATGCCGCCTGGATATCTGACCACCCCTAATCAAGAGTTGTCTCCCTTGTCAGTGTCAGGATTCGCTGGTATGGGTTCAATTACTAGATTTACCGTGCTTATGGTCCATGGTCAGGCTACAACACAGATGCCGCCTGGATATCTGACCACCCCTAATCGAGGAACATGCTCACTGACCCGCCCTACAACCATTCATATTTTGAAAGTAAGAGGAAAATTTACAAAACAGCTTAACTACCCAATTTTCTTTACGACTAAAATAGGTAACCCACATCTTTTTAACAATTGACTTCAATTGCTGCCTGACTGTTATCTTCTATCCCTGATGGGGTTGCAGCAGCAGCTGCCATGTAGGATGACACGGTTACTATGGAGACGGCACTGTTACTATGGAGATGGCACTGTTACTATGGAGATGGCACTGTTACTATGGAGACGGCACTGTTACTATGGAGAAAGAGTTTGAGAAAAAAATAATTAAAATGAGTAACTACTGAAATAAGCCTGATGCGATGGTGATTTCTTGTAGAAAATGTGTGGGATTTTCTCTAATGGATGAGTATGTGTGTGTTGGGAAATAGAATCACTGCTTGCACATGTTCCTTGGTGGGTATCACTAACTATTTGTGACAGGAATTAGGATGTAATGAGAACATTAATAATGTAATGTTGAAGACACGGGCTACCTGTTATTAAATCAGTTACGAGCAGTATAGCAATACATTGGATGGGGATATGTTCTGGGCATTTAACTGATCAGTCTCTGTGTAAGAATTCTATGTAAAATCCATAATTAACATTTAAGCACGAGATGCTATTGTCCATCGTCTCTTTCATATTCCTGTGTGTTATGCCTTCATTTATAGGTATGTATTCACTGTGTAGTCTCAAGGCTATGAGATGGCCCTGGTTGAATGTTGATAGTGCAGAGGTTGGCGAGGGAAATCTGCAGTGGGTTATCTCCCTTTGCCTGCAATCATTGTGAAGCTAAGCTTATGTTGTGTGCACAATGTTCATGTCTTACTTTTACTGCATCATGTGATTCCATTGTGTTGATTATTTTACTTTAAGAAATATGTGTTTGAAGGGTTAGAAACTAACAGTTTTTGTCCACTAGTCCATATAATAACATATAGCAAAACCCTTATAATGGGCCAATTTTTACTAGTCCTTACGATACCTTTACTATTGGGCAGTTAGGTAAGGACTACAGGACTAGTGCCAATTCCTAATCCTGTGTTTGGAATCAACAAGTACACTGACTCACTGGACGAATACAAGCAAACATTGAATCAGGACCAGTAATTTTTTAATTTTAGATTAGTCGAAGAAAAGAAATGTCTGTCTCTCTTCTCGTTCACCTTTAGGACAGACGTTCACCTTTAGGACAGACGTTCACCTTTAGGACAGACATTCTCCTTTAGGACAGACGTTCACCTTTAGGACAGACGTGCACCTTTAGGACAGACGTTCACCTTTAGGACAGACGTTCACCTTTAGGACAGACGTGCAGGATGTTTTGGTAGTGATGATGTGGAAACCTTGAAATTGTTTAAAATGGTATATTGTGTTGGAACAGTGCTTTGTTGAGTAGAGTTTGTCCTGATGATTCACTGCAAGGGTTTTGTTGAACCTTGATGACATGAGGACATATCTACATGGCAAATCCATTCTTCATGGCTTTGTTCACTGTTTACGTTGTGATATGTTTGATGTGAATGTGTGAGTTTACAGTTGATATTTCTTCTTCATGTTGCTGTTGTTCATTGATAAGGTTTATGTCCATTTCTCGTAACAAAACAATCATGTATTATTTAGGTGAAGCAAAGTACCTCTTTCAGTTCCACATGTGTTTACATGATACGTGAAAACCATTTTTGAATGTGGATGTTTTGGACATTTTGCCCATCCTGTTTTATGCTGATGCATCATTTTCAGAACCAACACCATGTCCTGCCCTTTTGGCATGTGCCTGTGTAGGTCTGTATGGTGTAGGTCTGTATAGTGTAGGTCCTGCTGAATGCTTCTAACATGAGGACACAATCAAACAAGTTTCCAGTTTTTCATTGCACATAATTCATGTTGATAAGGACACGTGGTGTGTATTACCTGTTGCACCAAGCCTTTGTGTTTGTTCCATGGGAAAATATCAATAAACCATAAATCTTGACACGTTTCCTGTCATCTTATCATATGAATGGGGGCAGTAAAAGTGCAGTTTGGGATACCTGGAAGGTCTTTCTGCAGGGGAGCATGTTTGTTTTTTTGTTTGTTGTTTAGAGCTGCACTTGGCAATATTCTAGCTGTATGATGGCAGCCTGTAAATAATCAAGTCTGGATCAGATAATCCAGTGATCGATAATGTGAGCAACGATTGAGTATGACCCCATGAAGCATGTTGTCCAGTCTGACTACACTTCCAGGTACCCTCTTTCTACTAGCATAGTTTATTGGGGGCAAATTCTAACTGTAGTAAGACCGTCTCCATGGCCTAATGGTAGAGTGTCCTCACGGAGAGCGAAAGGTCCAGGGTTCGATACCAAAAGACATTTAAAGATGGCACTTGTTGTTACCCTGTCTGGCGCTCGGCATTAAGGGGCTAAAACAAGAACTGGTCGGCTCGGAGTCAGTATACTGTGTCTGAGTGTGGTATTCATGTTAAACTGAGGCATGGTATCTCAGTGGGCTAGCACTATAAATCGGCATCAGTCGGACTAGTACAAGCAGCCACACACACAGGCAGACAGAGATGTGCATGCACGTCAATATATAAGTGCAATAATCTTGGACAACGTTAAACTCCGTTTCACCTCACCTCTAACTGTAGAAAGCACCTGTAGGGATTCCCTGTAAGAACATAGGTCCCCAGCAACCTTCATGGATGCTCCTGATGTTAATCACTGGATTGCCTGGTCCAGACTCTTATTTACAGACCACCGTCATATAGCTGGAATATTGCTGAGTGCTGCTGTAAACAACAAACAATACGTATTTACACACCACTGTCATGTACAAGGGTGAAAATATTCGGCGGATCCGCAAATTTTAGTGACCCCAAATTTGTTTAAAATCTGATGGCTTCCCCCATAAACAGCCCCAATATATGGATCACACTCAATTGTAAATACGTTTCCGCTGAAAATGAAAATATCCATTCTCATCCCTGCATGTAGCTGGAATTTGGCCAAATGGGGTGTTAAACAACAAACCTACAATATCAGGAGATGACAATGAAAAAGTAAGATTGTTAGTGTGTGAGGTGTTGTGGACACATGTAAAACTGTATTGATAAAATGTCACACCAGCCATTGACATACATGACACAATACAATATATTCATTAAGAAATACACAAAATGATTGAACAGCCGAGAGCTAAAATACTGACCCAACGCAGGTTCACAATCAACTGTACTTACACCTTTGAGAGACGGACAATTCCGGGCAAATAGCAGCAACGTCGGCCATGGCAAGGGCACTGTATAGAACCAATATGACCTCCAGCCGATCTGGTCAAGGCTAGGTCCGAGGGACATTAACTATGGAGTAAGTTTGTTTGTTGTTTAACGCTGCATTCAAGCTGTATGAGAGCGGTCTGTAAATAAAGAAATTGTGATTGACATAATGAACAACGATCCACACGTTGGGGGTACGATGACACTCTCATCAACCCAGCCTGACCACATGATCCATTTAAAGGCGACTATGCTTGTCGTTAGAGGCGACTGACGGGATCGGTAGGTCAGGCTCGCTGACTTGGTTGATGCATGTCATCAATCCTCATTGCGTGGATCGATGCTCATGATGTCAATCACTGGATTGTCTGGTCCAGACTCGATTATTTACAGACCGCCATCATATAGCTGGAATATTGCTCAGTGCGGCGTTAAACAACAAAGGAACAAATAAAACATGATCAATTTGGTCGCTACCTGGAGCCAGCATAGCCCAGCAGTGGTAGGCATAAAACATGAAGTGCTCTTGATTGTTCTCCTCGAAGCTGACACGATGTGATATAATTGATACACTTTTCAAAGCGGCATTAAACCGAACTAACTAATAACCGCATTGGCCCTGAAAATAAGAAATATGGTACTACGGTTAACTCAATAAGCCATGATATTACTTGAATATTGCTAAAAGCGCTCATAAAATCTACCTCAATCATTCACACTGGTGTTGACAAAAACATAATTAAAACCCCTCACTAAGAACATGTGGAGCATAAGTGCGCTATTCTATGTAATCTCACTGATTATCTGACAAGCTCCACCCTGTGATCCCATCTCATTGCAACAACGTCAGCATAGAGGTGGCTGGCAAGCGTCACCCTGTGATCCCATCTCATTGCAACAACGTCAGCATAGAGGTGGCTGGCAAGCGTCACCCTGTGATCCCATCTCATTGCAACAACGTCAGCATAGAGGTGGCTGGCAAGCGTCACCCAGAAACACATTCGCCGAGCTCACTCAATCGAACAGCGATATGAGTGCTCCGACATTTGTGTTATTACTCTTGGAAAACAGTCAACCGATGTTTGCTCACATACAAAACTGCAAGTTTAATCTTTATGAAAACACAAGTGACCCTGGACGTGACAGGTGATGGGTGATGTGGGTTTCTGTCCCAATATGTCACTTCTCCGTGGAACCCGTGAAGATCAGGGTTAGAATAACGGGATCGGGTGGTCAGGCTCGTTGACTTGGTTGATGTATGTATCCCAATGTGGATCGATGCTCTTGATGCCAGTCACTCAATTGTCTGGTCCAGACTTGAGTATTTACAGATCGCTTTCATATAGCTGGAATATTGCTAAGTGCGGCGTTAAACAACAAACAGACAAACTTTACTACATCATCCAAGGTACGATCAGAGTGACGAGACGGGACCAATTCGGGTTTCCAGGATCAACAAATACCAGCCCAAATCACCATATCTTACCCCGAAAATGAATAGATGGGTTTGGGTTTACTCTGCTTTTGGCAATATCAGGGCGGGGGACGCCAGACATGGGTTTCACGCATTGTTCCCATGTGGGGAATCGAACCCCGGCCTTCACCCCGACGAGCAAGCACTTTACCCACAAGATTACCCAGTTGTTGATGAGCTGAGGAACGATCCACTAGCTAAAGAAACAGCGTCGTTGTTCGGCTGAAGCAATATTCGTTAACAGCTTTAGGTTTTTATACATCTCAACCTCTTTGATAAACGTAACTGAAACAAGTCATTGTACAGTGCTGTAAATATAACATAGAAAAGGTCTTCAGCAACCCATGTTGCTGTAAAAGGCGACTATGCTTCTCCTAAGAGGCGACTAATGGGATCGGGTGGTCAGGCTCGCTGACTTGGTTGATGCGTGTCATCGATCCAAATTGCGTGGATCGATGCTCATGATTTTAATCACTGGATTGCCTGGACCAGACTCTGAGTGCGGCGTTAAACAACAAACCAACCAACGGCGACGGTCGAGTCTGGACCAGCCAAACCAGTGACTGAACGCATGAGCACAGCTCCACGCACAGATGGGCCGCGTCACACATTCATAGTGACTACGAGAACCTACATAGTCTACACACAGTACATTCATGGTGACTTCCCGAACTGCAGTAGTCAAATCACAATATATGCATTTGGTTTGGAGGAAATATTGTGTCCCAGATTTGATTAAACAAAGTAAACAGTAATTAACAAATAACGTATAAATGCACTCGGTTGAATAACGGGATATAATTTCAGGTTGACTTCAAGTGTTTTCATTTGATGTAATAATCTGTATGATTTTCGAGTGGCGAAAGTGAAGCTTAAATTTGAAAATATCAAATTTTATGATTAATTGTGTGTCAAAGGGATCATTGTACGACGACAAGGGGGATTTGGCTGACTGCTTGTGATCTCAATGGCGACGGGATATCGGACATTTGTGTGGTTGTTGTCTATCGCCGCATTCAGTCGTAGTTCCGTGTACGGGTACCTGTCCGTAATCGAGTCTGGACCCGACAAACCAGTGGTGGATATGAAGAGCAACACAATCTACATGTGACCGAGCCAGGCTTTTCCGATCCACTTAGTCTCTTCCGACATCACTGGTTGCTGGGGACTTATTCTAACCCGGAATCCCCTCAGGGAGACCAGCACAGGTTGCTATGGACCTATTCTAACCCGGAATCCCCTCAGGGAGACCAGCACAGGTTGCTGGGGACTTATTCTAACCCGGAATCCCCTCAGGGAGACCAGCACAGGTTGCTATGGACCTATTCTAACCCGGAATCCCACAGGGAGACCAGCACAGGTTACTGGGGACCTATTCTAACCCGGAATCCCCTCAGGGAGACCAGCACAGGTTGCTGAGGACCTATTCTAACCCGGAATCCCCACAGGGAGACCAGCACAGGTTGCTGGGGACGTATTCTAACCCGGAATCCCCTCAGGGAGACCAGCACAGGTTGCTGGGGACTTATTCTGACCCGGAATCCCCTCAGGGAGACCAGCACAGGTTGCTGGGGACTTATTCTAACCCGGAATCCCCACAGGGAGACCAGCACAGGTTGCTGGGGACGTATTCTAACCCGGAATCCCCACAGGGAGACCAGCACAGGTTGCTGGGGACTTATTCTGACCCGGAATCCCCTCAGGGAGACCAGCACTGGTTGCTGGGGACTTATTCTAACCCGGAATCCCATCAGGGAGACCAGCACAGGTTGCTATGGACCTATTCTAACCCGGAATCCCATCAGGGAGACCAGCACAGGTTGCTGGGGACTTATTCTAACCCGGAATCCCCACAGGGAGACCAGCACAGGTTGCTGGAGACCTATTCTAACCCGGAATCCCACAGGGAGACCAGCACAGGTTGCTGAGGACCTATTCTAACCCGGAATCCCACAGGGAGACCAGCACAGGTTACTGGGGACCTATTCTAACCCGGAATCCCCACAGGGAGACCAGCACAGGTTGCTGGAGACCTATTCTAACCCGGAATCCCACAGGGAGACCAGCACAGGTTGCTGAGGACCTATTCTAACCCGGAATCCCCACAGGGAGACCAGCACAGGTTACTGGGGACCTATTCTAACCCGGAATCCCCACAGGGAGACCAGCACAGGTTGCTGGAGACCTATTCTAACCCGGAATCCCACAGGGAGACCAGCACAGGTTGCTGAGGACCTATTTT